AGTAAATTATCCAGAACGTTCAATACCTGTCCGTCAACAGTAACATTGCGCAAAACGGATGATGTTTTCATTTGTTTACAATACAGATGAACTTGGCCATTTGTCTGAAAACGAGCTTGAATTATTATAGAAAACAATATTGAATTTGTGAAACCTATAAATAGTTGATTTTTCAGCAACAGTTCATCTCCTCATTTTCAAATGTCATAAGTTTTTGTGATCATGTATTCGTACCCATCTTGCAAGCACGTTTTTTTTTTGGCACACAAAGGATTCAGTTGGTCACTATGGAAACAGGACTCCTCATTTAATAAAGTGCTATCTGATCAATCTGGCTGTATAAAGCAAAAGGATGTATGTCATTTGGGGCTATAAACAAGTTATCATTATAAAAATTGAAAGTCTTTTTCTACAAGTGTGTCCTTTTCCTAGAACGTATCAAACAAGGAAATGAATAGAAGTTTTATTTTGGTACAAGTACGGAGTTTTCCAAGAACAAATAAAACAATGAAATAAATAGAGGTTTTATTTTGGCCTTCCAAGAACGAATCAAACAGGGAAAATGTTAGACCATGAACGCACATCAAATTAGATGGATATCAAGTATGTGTAAGCTTGGCAAATCTTGGATTGTAAAATGTTCGGAAAATTAGTACTTAAAAGAACAAAGCCTTTTTTTTAATAACGTGTACTTCATTAGTTAAAGAGCACAAATTCAAAATATCATAAATGTCATAATAAGAATTATTTCACAGAAAGCACTTATACTTCCAACCAACTGTCGATTTTTTTTCTTTATTGAAGTCATGATTGCACAATGTATATACTAAAACATATTAAGTGTTAAAGGAAAACTGTTATCATAGTAAACAAATTCGTTTTGGATTGGTTTTAAAAAGTATAAATGAGTACGAAAGAGTACGAAATTGACAATGATATTTGAGATCTTTAGCCATAATATCATTTGAAATAGAGCTATAATTATTCTACAGGGAATCATCATAATTCAAATAAAATAATTTTATTTATTTAATCTATTTATTTATCTTTTTTATTTTTGGATGGGGATGGGGCTGTTTACGTCGCACTAAATCAGTATAGATCATATGACGATTTTCAAGCTTTAATGGTGAAGGAAGACCTCATGCAGGTGCTCTTCCATGCACTATTTCTAGCACGAACGGGCACCACAGACTTTCCGTAAGCTAGCTTGATCATAGCTTACTCACATAACAGAATCCAAAGTCCTGTTGGTATTCGAACCCACAGTGGTTTACCTTATAAACTCTAAACAGCAGAGAGATGAACAATGCTATAAAGATGCAATATACATTGGATTTTTACTAGAACAGCCCTCATGATTGATCTGATTTCCAGCGTGTGGCACTATAACAATGTAATAAACACCACACACGTGTATATCGTGCAACAAAGTAAACATTGAAGATGAATTACATTCCCCGTCTTTCATGTCTGAACTTTTATGATGTGAAGAAAGAAACATTTATCGCGTACTGTTGCATTTGGCACGGCACTGAAATTTGAGCAATATTTTGTCTGCAAACCTTTGCATAACTAGTTTTCAGCCTGTCTTTCCAACAAAGAACAATTAGCGCAGCAATAGATCATGTAAATAGACTCTTACTTAGACAAAATGTCATGAAATGCGTAATTCAAGAACCTTTTACTTAGAATTCTTTGAGTCATAGGGGTACTTATATTTACAGAACTATTTCTCAGTTGTGATGTACTGTACATGCGAAATCTTTGCCAAATATTCAAATAAGTCATCGGGTGGATTTTATTTACATGGTTCTCTAGTATATACAAGTTCAGTGAAGTTGATGGAAAATTCAAATAGTTATAGGACTGAGGTAGCATAAATGCCATATAAATTTGTCTTAGTATGACGGTATATCTGTAACATATACAAGGTACAATAGCGTAATCAGTGAGTTCAATCTGCGGTGATATGACTGTAAATGTCGGAAGCTGTCGGAGATAATGTAATATTATGTCAGGCGGAAAAAGAAGGAAAAGTGAAAGATATTGGTATATAATTGCATTTGCACATTAAAACAATGCAGTATATATAAAACAACAGCAGATAAAGACAGTATGTCTCCAGATGTAGAATTATTGGTGGGTTTCCAGTAAATCGTATTTCAACCTTTGCCAATCTTTCAATCTGGAAAAAAATCATTTATCGTCCTAGGGCAAATTTCAAAATATGTACTGACTGAATAGTGAACAGTGCAGACCATGATCTGATGGCACGTATCTTTGTCGGCACTTCTCGAATAGGAAGTATCAGTTGCCACCAGTAGGCCAAAGGTTATATAAGGTCGAGCTATCGGATAAGTTATTCTAGTTTTTAGAGCATCCACCTCCGTAGCCGGGTGGTTAAGGTCACTGGTTCAGATTAGCTTGCCCCATCGACGCTATGGGCTCGATTTCCTTTAAAACCCTTAATGCCGTAGACTTGAAAAATACTTTTGAGTCGGAGCGTTGTTTTATGAAGAATTTAAAATACATGTGTATTGTAATTATACCATATATTTGAAGTTGACTTCTTTATGATTCCTGCTTTATAATATAAAACCTCAGTAGACATCAGAAGGATACAAAAAGGATATTTATACCATCAAGTTTCATGCTATTTAAATTTGATCTAGGACGGTGACATACACTTATGGCTTCAAGGACAAGATTGTTTCACTGCAAAGATTGCCGTTCAAGGAAAACAGTCTCAATAGCATGCAGTCAAACAAGGTCACTGAACAGAAGGCCTCTATGTTATAAAGCATTTTTACTGAGCTCTGTCTCAAACCTCATGATTTTCATCGGTCAATATATACAACTATAGTCTGTGCTTGATTCTGACTATTCAAATACCTGAGATGGATAAAGAGTTTTAGCATAGAAAAGTCCTTTATAACATTGGGCCCTTGCAGGCATAGGCTTTCAAGAGAATCCTTTAATCATTTAGATATGAAAATCTGGAAGAAGAGTGATCCCTTGAAAGCATTAATCACAACAAAATCAGATGCACTCAATATCTAACCAAATGTTTTCAAAATAATAGGGACAGACAGAACCGCCTATGCAGCATTTGAAATTGAATAGCTGTGCTAAAATTTACCGACTCAAGAGAAGTTGTTTTAGGTTATCTTCTTAAAAAAAAATCTATTTTAGCTGAGGAGCACCTACATGAAAAAAGAGTGGTAAGCTTCGTTGCAGAGTTATTCAGGCTGCTGGCTTGCACTCATTTACTCTTTACTGTTATAGAATAGAATCAAGCAAGGATTTTTGGAGTTTAAAGCAGCATGCCTCCAGATTCATGCTAATTTTCATGAAAATATTGAAAATGTGTCTAAAAGAAAAAATGTTGTAAAGTGAACAAAGGAGTGATTTAGGCATTGCAAACGCACTTTCAATCCAATTGAAGTACCAAAAAGAGGTCAAAATACGCAAAATGAATATGGTGATAAATAATGCAAAATCAGTCATTAATCGCAACTAGCATGTATATTTTTAATTGAATATTATATCATTTTACTTTTCTTATAATCTTAGTACATTTTTCTCAACTTTGATTTTCTTGAAATATTTTGGCTCATCTGGAGACATGCCGCTTTAAAAGTTGTTCAAAGGGTTTTTATTTCATTCCAGATCGACCTATCGTCTTCTAGACCATTTAATAGGCAACTTAAAACACAACTAAACAAGACCTATCATTGAAGATGATTAATACCCGCACCAGTAACTTTGACTTTTTTCAAAAATAAGTGGTCTGAAGAAAAATTTGAACTCAACCTATAATAAATGAAATGTAAACTGTGTACAAACAATTATTTCAATTAATTGCAAAACCAACCGGGGTCTTCATATAAGCTTGCTATACACCATGCTTGATTAAAATAACCCATTCCTAACTCAAATTATTGTCCGGAAACCATTTTTCTGTTTTTAGTAACGGTGACCTTGACCCCAGGGGTCCAAATGCAATACCAACCGGGGTCTTCATATAAGCTTGCTATACACAAAGTTTGATTACGAAATCTCATTCCTAACTTTAGCTATTGTCCGGAAACATTTTTCTATTTTTAGTAACGGTGACCTTGACCCCAGGGGGTCCAAATGCAATACCAGCCAGGGTCTTCATATAAGCTTGCTATACACCAAGTGCGATTACAATATCTCATTCCTTACTTTATAGTTAGTGTCCAGAAACCTTTGTTCTATTTTAAGTAACAGTGATCTTGACCCTAGGGGGTCCAAATGCAATACCAGCCAGGGTCTTCATACAATCTTGCTATACACCAAGTTTGATTACAATATCTCATTTTTAACTCTAGTTATTGTCCGGAAACCATTTTTCTATTTTAAGTAACCTTGACCTCAGGGGTCAAAATGCAATACCAATGGGAGTCTCCACATAAGGTTGCTATACACAAAGTTTGATTACAATATTTCATTCCAAACTCTTGTTATCGTCTGGAAACCATGATGTGGACGGACCGACAGACCAACAAGCTGACTAATATATACCCCCCTCCCCTGGGATATAATAATCCAGACATGTCATAAGAAAACATATTTTCTTGCAGTATTTCTTGGATAATCTACATATTTCTCAATAAGAATCACAAATTTCATTTTCGAACAATCTTTATTACAATTTTACTATTTTCAAAAAAATTCAGTACACAATTTTTTTCAATATGTCTTAAAAGTAAAATGAGTTTTGATAACTATAATCAAACACACACATAACTCCTTGCATCAGTTGAATCCGCAGGCTGGTCCACTACTATACTGTTGCAACAATATTAATTACAAAAATTTTATAATTTCTTTTCAAAAAATACAGTACACAATTTCTTTCTTAAAGTATATAATTTTGCAAAATGTCTTGAACATAAAATCAGTTAAGAAAACCATGTTCGCACATGCACAGCCTCAAGCATCTGTTGAAATTTCAGACTGGTTCACTGCTATTGCAGACTGGTCCACTGCTATACGGTTGAGTTCCCTGTTTGTACTATATCTCTTTTATGTGTTCCATCACAGAACGGTCTATTACCAGTTTGTTTACAGTTACATAACCAGTATTCTCCATCTTCCTCTACCTCAAACTTAACTGGCTGATATTTAATTGCTTTCTTCTGTCCTTCCCTTTCTAAACGTTCTTGATACAAAGCAGTAAATACCCTTTTATGTGTCCCATCGCAAAATGGCTGAAATATAAGAAAAGAGAAACTGAAACTGTTCTATTTATTTAAACGCCTATTCATATTCAATGGCGTTGTACAAAAGGATAATAAAAGTATGTACATATAGATAAAAAAAAGACACATATGCATGACAAATGAACTACAAAAAATATGTTAAAGATATCAGCCGTGTAAAATATAAAGTATTAAAAACTTTAAAAAAAAAATAATAGTTATTCACAATCTTAAAACAATGCGTAAAAATCTCTAAAATAGTAGGTTTTGACATTTTTCTTGAACATGTCCAAAGTCGAAGACTGTCTTATATACAGAGGCAATTTATTCCAGAGAGTTGGACCAACGGTACTAAAACTTCTGTCGTTAAATGTTTTCCTTTTGTTAAAGGGGACAGCAAAACAATAATCCATATTATCAACAGATCTGAGATTTGGTCTTTTTATGACAGGCTTGTGTAACACTGTTCTGTTAGATAAACCGGAGCATTGCCCATAAAACAGTTATACATTGTACATAGTATTTTAATATTGATCCTAGCTTTAATTGGTAACCAATGCAGTTCCAACAAAGAGTCTTTGGAACTATCATATTTTTCGCGTTGCAAAACAAGTTTAGCGCACATATTCTGGATACGCTGTAATTTCTGTAACTCACTTTCTGAAATGCCAAACAATATAGCGTTGCAATAATCCAAATGTGAGATTACAAGCGACAATACTAGGATTTTTGTGGCGTCCTGAGTCAGATATTTGCGAATGCTCTTTCTTCTCAAATAATTTAACATGGCAGTTCTACACTTGGTCTTAACATGTGTTGAGAATCTTAGGCCCTCGTCTAAGTAGGCACCTAAGTATCTTATGACACTGACATTTTGAATTTTATCACCGGCGATATCAATTTCTTTAATTGAACATTTACCAAGTTGGGCTTTACTACCAAACATAATGAATTCTGTCTTAGTGGTGTTCATTTTGAGTTTATTGGCATTCATCCAGTCATTGATGATTACAGCACTGTCTTCAAGTTGCTTTATAGCGTTAAGTTCATTGGTCACTGAAGTTGGTCGAAAGCGTTGACTAGCAATGTGGTCAGCACAGCCGTACACAGATATGGATGGTGGTATCACATCAAATAGGGTTCCTGCAATATGTGAGATAGAGCCACGGACCAAGACAGCTCCCCTGAGGTACACTGCATTCCAGCAATCGTGGAGTCGATTCAGTAGAATTAACACTGACGCGACAACCACGAGGTCGCAGGTACGAGTCCACCCAAGCTAACACGGTACCATTGACACCGTTCTGACTGTGTAACACGTCGAGTAGAATGTTGTGGTCAACGGTGTCAAAAGCTGCAATTAGATCTATTGCAATTAGAGCTGTGACCTCTTGCTTCTCCATACCGTCTAGAAGATCATTGACAAGTCTGAGTAAAGCAGTCTCACATGAATAATGACGCCTGTTTGCTGATTGATTTTTGGGTAACAAATAATGGGTATCGACATGGTTATTTAGTCTGAAGAGCGCAGCCTTTTCTATCAATTTTGAAAGAAACGATAAGTTACTGACAGGCCTGTAGTTTGACAATTGTAATTCTAAACCAGACTTCTTAAGAAGGGGTCTAACGATCGCCTGTTTCCAGTGTGTTGGAAATACGCCTTTAGACAGAGATAGATTGACCAGTTTGGTAATGGTTGGCAGAAGCTCATCTAGATGTGACTTTAATATTAGTGTGGGTATTAAGTCCAGCTCACACGATTTGGTATTTAGTTCACAAATAAGGCTCTTCACCTGTGTTTCTGTAAGATCCTCGAAATTTTCTAAAGGTTGAATTTGTTTGACATTTGGAATGAAGCTTGGAAAATCTTGAAGTGATTTACGAATTTTAGCTATTTTGTCCATAAAAAAGTTTGCAAACTTTTCAGCTAGCTCACTGTCATTTGTAGACTGTGGCATAGGATTTTCAGCTTTAGTACCAGTTAATTCCGAAATTAAACCATAGAGTTTTTTTGAATCACCTTTGGCATTTTCTCACTTATTACTAGTTTTTTCTCAGAATCAATTTTTTTACAGTATCTATTCCGTGCTTCTTTAAATTTCTTGAACTATTCTGGCTTTTTGTACTTTCTCCAAATTCTCTCTTTTTTTCGGACAATACGCTTAGATTCCAATATTGACTCATTGAACCAAGGTTTTTGAGTTCTGCATATCCTAGTTTGTTCCTTTGTTGGAGCATGTTTGTCGATAACAGATTGGATTTCTGATTCAAACAAGTTTACAAAAGTATTGACATCTTCACTATCAACTGAAATCTTCGTTAAATCATCAGAGAATTCAGAATGGGAATTGCTTTCCCATTTTCTAAATTATACAGTTTTACTGGTAATGTTTTCTTTCTTCACATTAATGACTACGTGGACAGCACAGTGATCGGAGAGAAAAGGTCCTTGTTCACATTTAAGTACACATACACCATTAATCGATTCAGTGATAACCAAGTCTAAACAGTTTCCAGCAGTGTGTGTACTAAAGTTGACATGTTGCTCTAAACCCATAGCATGAAGGCAATTTTGAAAGTTTGTAGATGCACCACTACCATTGTCAAGGTGAAGGTTGAAGTCTCCCATAATTAACAAGTTAGAGTATGTAGGTAAGATATCTTCTATGAAATTTGAAAAGTCAGTTACGATAACGGATTGGATTTCTGATTCAAACAAGAAAAGAGGAAGGTATAACTTATAACGCCAGTGTTGGACAAGAATTATTTGATAGCTTACAATAATAAAACTTCCAGGAAAAGGCTCAATCAAACAAAATAGAGAAAAACGGGATCTATAAAGAATGCCCAAAACAACAAAATTGAAAATGTTGCACGCTCGGTTTCACTGAACCTGGTAATTGCAAGCTACCATCCACAACCCCTAGCACGAGCTTATTGTGAAATTTTGAATCAGATGTGCTCATAGGGCGTTAGAAAGACTTTCAATTTTACTATTTCGGGCATTCTTTAGAATTTTCATTTTTCTCTATTTTATTTACAGACGAAATTATATATTGCAAATACATTGATGCAAACATGTTAAAAGGGCATGTTGAAATTATATATTGCAAATACATTGATGCAAACATGTTAAAAGGGCCTGATTATCTTATGAAGAAAATATAGAGATTTTCTAAGCTGAAAACAGTATCTCATTTTGGATGCCAAATAGAGTAATTGTACATGTAACATCAAATGGCAGACAAAAGACAAAATGCCATCACAAAAGCTCAACTCTGAGTACTTTATGCACAGGTGAGCTAAAAATGCAAGATTAATCAACCACTGTTTATATCCAGGCTCTCTGGTCACTGTTAATCAGAAACTCTTCAGGGCCGTGTTGCTGACTTAAACAGTTACCGTGGCCGAGTGGTTAAGGTAGTTGACTTCAAACCACTTACCCCACACCGCTGTGGGTTCGAATCTCGTCAGGGACTTTGGATTCTTTCATGTGAAGAAGCTAACCAGCTAGCTTAAGGAACGTCGGTTGTTCTTCTCAGGTGCCCGTTCGTGCCTGAAATAATTCACGGAAGGGCACCTGAGGTCCTCCTCCACCAGTAAAGCTGGAGCGTCGCCAAATGACCTATACTGTATCGCTTTGACGTAAAACCCAATCAAACAAATTAACCAGTTACATTCAAGCCAGATAATCTGTTTTGTACTGGCAGCCAATTTAAGATTCTTATATTCATACAATTGCCAAATGTTATTCCCTTAAAGAATTTAAACCCTTCAAATTCTATTCTCAAAACTTTAGTGAAGTTAATACTTGAGGTATGATAAAATACCTGATGTTTGCTGTATCCACACGTACACCAAAAGTATTGTTTGCCTGCCTTTAGAAGTGCTGGGAAAGGTTTCTTGTCGTATATTCTCCCTTTTACTGGTTCCACATCAAACTCGCCTCTGAACAAAGTCTCTGGATGATTTTTAACCTTCTTTGGCAGACCTACAATTCTGTCAGTAATGGTTTCCCCCTTTTCTCTCAAGCTATCTTCACCGACTTCCCAGTATTTTTTCAACCGTACAGGATTTTTTATCTGAAAATACAGTACAAATCTAAATGAATATAAATATATTTAAAAGGAAAACAAATAATAAAAAAAAAAACATTAAAAAAAATAAAAAATTCTATACCCTTCACTAAGTTTTAGTGAAATTTACAGTATTATTTCTTATTGGGCGCCACCATTTTCAATATAACACTATGAAAAATGAAAAGGTATTCCGATAATAGACCAACTGCAACTTTTTGGCTTAACAATAAGGTAACATTGTATCATAGTTTGGGGACTTCCTGTTGAAAATGTGTCACAGTAAAATCGTATATACATATACATGCACAGTGCGTTAATAACTGAAGTGCAGGTATTAGTTACCCACACTCCAGAGCATGCCCATTGATTGGCTTATTTTTGCTGGGGTTTACTTATTGTGACGGCAGAGAAAGAGAAAGCAACAGCAATATCAAATTTAGATGCTCGTTCATTGGTTCCTTCTTTTGCGGGTTTCATATTAAGACAACAGGGAACGTGTTTTTATGTTTGACTATGACACAAAGAACATCAAAACACTCGGCAAACTGATTAATACTCAGGGGCTACGCCCACTCGTACAAATCAGATAGCCTCGTGTTTCGATGCTCTTTCTATTACATAATCTCCGAGGTGTTCTGACTGAAAATGAAAGGGGTGTATAATTTAATACCGGATGACACTTTAAAAATGAAATAGTAAAATGAGTATTATGACTCCCCATTCAATATACCTAAAACATATATTGCAAATTTTTCAAAAAATAAATTGTTTATAATGAAAATAAATAAAATTTTAACAGTCGTAGTGGAATCTTCAATCATAAATAGAGATATTTTCTGCAAAAACCTTTGTATTAACTTTATTTTTTGTATGGGATTATTCATACAATGATATTTAATTATTTTCTTACAAAGAAATAACTGCTTTATTTCACTTTAATTTAAAAAAAGTCCAAAAACATAGAGTTTGTTATTACACTCCATTTGGTGAATTCCCCAGAGCTATGTACAGAAAGTACCGGAAAACGGCGTTTAGCTAGGTTTTCTTAAATTCATGAATAAATATAGAAATCTATATTATACGGGGAAGTCAAAGACCGGGCCCGCGAAGCGGGTCCGGGCTTTGGCTCGCCCAGCTATAGACTACACGTGTATATTTAAAAGAAAATCAAGTAAAAAACAATTAAAAAATATATAGAATTCTTTACCTATCAATGAAATTTTCAGTGTCAGTTCTAGTCGGGTGCCGCCATTTACAATGTAACTCAATGATAATACCGAATGACACCTTTAAAACGGAAAGAATGAACAGATGAAAGGACTTTTTTTAACGACTTCCCCGTTTATAGGCTTTGCCTATTTTCATATTAGGCGGGGTATTCCGATAATGGAACAAATCTCAACTTTTCAGATAAATAATAATCGTCCAGTGTTCCGAGTGAAAACGGAAGCATGTAATACGGGGAAGTCAAAGACCGGGCCCGCAAAGCGGGTCCGGGCTTTGGCTTGCCCGGCTATAGACTACACGTGTATATGTAAAAGAAAATCAAATAAAAAACAATTAAAAAATATATAGAATTCTATACCTATCAATAAAATTTTCAGTGTCAGTTGTAGTCGGGTGCCTCCATTTTCAATGTAACTCAATGATAATTGGCAGGGTATTACGATAACGGAACAAATCTCAACTTTTCGGATAAATGATAATCGTCGAGTGTTCCGAGTGAAAACGGAAGCGGTGCATGTAATACCGAATAACACCTTTAAAACGGAAAGAATGAAAGGAATTTTTAACGACTTCCCCGTTCATAGGCCTTGCCTAATTTCATATTACCGGATGACACCTTTAAAACGGAAAGAATGAAAGGAATTTTTTAACGACTTCCCCATTCATAGGCTTTGCCTAATTTCATATTATTTTTTTAATTGTTTTTGATTTGATTTCCTTTTAAATATACATTTAGTGTACAGTCAGGTGAGCAAAAATACGTCATTTTTAATTTTAGCTTTAAAAAGCTTGACAAACGAAAGTTATTTTTAAATCTCACAGCTAGGTTTTCGAATTCGTGAATGTTCATTTGTCAAACGTAAAACGGCAGGTACGAAATTTACTGTGTACGAAAGAATGATCTTCTCTTGTGAAATAGTTTAACGAGCAAAATATTTAGATAAAAAGTGAAACATGCATCGAAAATAGTTTCATTTTTTTCAGTTATTGCATAGTTAAAAGTTTCGCAATTACATGTACCTGCTTAATTTTGGAAACCAAAAATGTTTGCGAATATTTTCTCAAGGGCGCAGCCATGTTGGAGTATCACAGAAAATAAATAACTAAATAAATACTGATGTTTTTTATGAAAAGTACATAATTATTTACTAGGAAAATATAATTGGTTATTTTTCTTATCACTAACTATATCGTGTTTAAAAATATTCATGTTTAAACACATTCAATTTTAAACAATTGAAAACGTTATAATATTCACCTCGATACTGTTTGTTGCTACGTTGCATGGTAACCAGTATAGTTTGGCTAGAGATTTTGGTAACAAGTCAGTTCAGTTGAGATTATATTGGATTGTGTTTTAAAGAGAAAAACAAATAAAAATGAGCCAGCGACAGGTTCTTCAAGGTAAATTCTGCACAGTTTTATTAATTTATTTTGATTTAATAAGCTAGAAAACTACGATTTAAAATTAAAATCTTGAAATATTCAGCATGTTGTCAAATTGGTCTTGCAGGAGTTAGAATGTTGTGAAGTACCACACCTCTTCTTGTTCTGTATGTAGGTCTACCATAAAATGATAATTACTTTTACTACTATTGGCACCATTTGACTTTGCTAGTTGCTTGTTTAACAAAGATTTAATTGCACATAAATAGCTAAAAATGATGAAAAATTCAGTGGTGAAACTAATATCCATTTTCATGAAAGTTTCAGTCCAATATGCATGCATATTTTGTTACAGATTTGATGTATATCATATACAGTACCTCTTGACACAAAAATGCTAGAGACTCATTTATTTTTAAGCTAAATAACTTAGAAATTTATAGTTTGTTTGTTCCTGAATTTTGAGTCTCAACTCAGATACAACAAATGACAGCATCTAGTGATATTGCTTGTCTATTAACTTATATTGGCCCTTATTTTGTAAACTCACAATATTTTTTATTAAACCAAAATTATTGTATATATATTGTTTATATAACTAGATACATAATATTAACAGCCACTTGCTTATTGGCCAGGGGCCGGAGCACTACATGCACATTCTGGTGTCTGCTTAGCTATAGAATGGTCTTGCTAATGAAAATCTGGAAAAAAAAAGATCCCTCAAAAGCATTAAAAAAATTTTAACAGCAAAATTACATGAAAATTTGGCACATTTAACGAAAATATACCACAGTTGTTTATATTTTTTATCTTGAATTTCAGTTTTTGAGCAGTACCAGAAAGCTCGAACTCAGTTTGTGCAGACAGTGGCTGAATTAGCTTCAAGGCCACAAAACATAGAGACACTGCAAAATGCCGGAGTTATGTCATTATTGCGCCCACTCTTGTTGGATATTGTACCAACCATCCAGCAGACTGCGGCCCTTGCTCTCGGCAGGCTAGCCAACTATAACGATGATCTAGCCGAGGCTGTTGTGAAGGGAGATATTCTACCACAGCTGGTGTATTCTCTTGCTGAACAAAATGTAAGTGTTAATTCTTAATTACTTAAAGTATAAATCATTTTGATTGAAATATGAATAGAAGCTATGTTTTTCATTGAATGCTTTAAAAAGCAAAGTGTTTAAGCCAGAGAATTCAACTTTTCATCTGTAAATTTTCTTTTAGCCCATTCAAACCACAAATAGTGGTTATTTTTAAAGAATTTTTGTACTAGAATCACATACTTAATATAGTACATTTTTGTATTAGGAAAATAGTACAAATGTATATTTTTTATATACATGTATATGAGAACTTTTCAAACATAAATAGAATGTTTTATTTTAGATCTGAAATGATGAATATTTTTTATTAGTATACACACATGTGTGTGCTGTTATTTATTCATTTATCTTCCAAATTAACTCTGCTCACTTACTTATTGTCTTTATCTATTACAGAGGTTTTACAAAAAAGCAGCTGCCTTTGTTTTACGCGCTGTAGCAAAACATTCTCCACAGCTAGCACAATCAGTAGTTGACTGTGGAGCATTAGATGCCCTAGTTATCTGTCTGGAGGAGTTTGATCCTGGTGTGAAGGAGGCTGCTGCCTGGGCACTTGGTTATATTGCCAGACACAATGCTGGTAAGTAGAATTTGAATATATATTGCCAAAAAAAAAAATTGAGAGATAATTTGACTTTTAGTTCTATTTGAGTCAGATGAACCTAATGTTTATCCTGAATAGCTTGTTATTTAACTAATTGTCATCTATTAAAATTTATCAGTACACATAAGTGTAATATCTATTATATATACAATCAGTTCAGACTATGATATATTGTTACCTTCATGCAATAACATGTTAACTCCTATTAAATTAAATAAGGAGTAAACTCGTTACTGCACAAATGTTACAATTATGTTCAAGGAAAACAGAATTTAAGTTATCAAATGAATAACTGAAAATCAAGAATTTAAGAGTGCAAATATTTTTACTCTCTTTTTAAACATACTGAATACCAGCACTCATAATGAATAGTTTTAATGGTTTTTGTATGTCTTGAAGTATATTTTCAATAAAAGCATAAACATGTACATAAATATACATGTTAAATATATCACTTTCTGTGCTTTACAGAGTTGGCCCAAGCTGTTGTAGACGCAGGCGCAGTACCACTACTTGTCCTGTGTATACAAGAACCAGAACTGTCGCTGAAACGTATCGCTGCCTCAGCTCTCAGTGATATCTGTAAACATTCTCCAGAACTCGCACAGACCGTCGTCGATGCTGGAGCCATTGCCCATCTAGCCCAGATGATCTTGAACCCTGATGCTAAACTCAAGGTATTTTAAATTCCTGTAAATCTTTCTCAATTGCGGTTAATTGAAAAGTTTTTAGTTTGAATGTTTTACTAAACCCCAGTACTAAACCCTCAGACAGAATCCCTTTTAAATGCTAAAATTGTAAAAAAAACACTAGTAATTATAAATTGTGGAGAAGTATGAAGATTTGGTTGTTTAACTTTGGCTTTGAGTGTTCATGTGAATGGTAAAATAGCATTAGCTCAGCATTGGCTCATTTTTCTTAATATGAATTACCTGAGCTGCCTGAATTGACAGTTATTCTCTCATTGGACAACAATTGAACTGTAAATGATCTATTAAACCTTAAGTACATTCTGAGGCTGTTATCATTAGTGAAACTCTTTCTTTTTATCTCTTTTATACAAAATTGCTTTTTTATATGAATTACACTTTTTTGCTAATGAACTTATTGATATTTAAACAATAAATTTATTTTTATTGTTTTATTAAAAAATTGCATCAAAATACTCAATCCAGTAATGGAAGGATTCAAATAAAACTATTTATATCAGCAGATAAGACAGTCATTTCAAAAAAAAAAAAATTAAGTTTTTCTTCAAGTTTTAAATATCTTATTCCAAAGTAAATATTCTATATTCTTGACACATCATGATCTACTTATGTTTTACAGAGGCAGGTGTTCTCCGCACTCAGTCAAATCTCCAAACATTCAGTAGACTTGGCTGAAATGGTTGTTGAAGCAGAGATATTCCCAGCAGTGCTCACTTGTCTTAAAGATCCCGACGAGTATGTGAAGAAAAATGTTGCCACCTTGATCAGAGAGATCGCCAAACATACCCCAGAGGTAAGCAATAACTTATTTGTAGTTTGTTCAATGGTCAAAAAAATTTTTTTTTTTTAAATCTTTTTTAGTTTGTAAAATGATCTTTGATCCATAGTGCACCAATTTGCAAAATGGTATTGCTGCAGAGCTCATACCCATTCAGGTTTAACAGTCTTCCCAGGATTTTGGGAACATATGCCTTTCCCATGGTATTGGGAATTTTAGCAATTTTGTTGTTGTTTTTTAATTTGGAAAAAATGCATCACTTAAATTTTGCAGTTTTTAAATGAATGCAAACAATCACTTTCTAGGATGACATCTTCCAACGTTTAAGAGAGAGTTAACAGTGAAGAAGCCCTTATTTTCAAAGATTTAAAAAAAAAATATTTAATATTTTCATTTTGTAACTCTTGGAAATTTTTTCCTGTGGATTTGTAAAATAATATTCTATTTTCAATTGGGAATATGACCCAATAACAGCTATAAATAAGCCCAAAAATCCTTGATACCGTCTTCTAACTGTTAAAACTTTATACAACTTTTGTCATATTTCACTTGCAGTTATCTCAGCTGATCGTGAACGCAGGAGGTGTTGCTGCCGTGGTGGACTACGTTGGCGAGTCACGTGGAAATGTCCGGTTACCTGGAATCATGATGTTGGGTTACGTCGCTGCACACAGTGAGAATCTCGCTATGGCTGTCATTGTTTCGAAGGTAAAATTCTCTCTTCATAAATTTCACAGTTGTTCCCCCTTTTTTCAAAGTTGATGTTTTAACAGAAATTTTAACTTTTCTTGCCAAAGTAAAAGAGCTAATTTGTCCTGAATTGGAAATTCAAATGCCACCATCGATATATTTTGTCTTAAATTGACAACATTATTATCTTTGAATATGAGAACAAATAATTTGTAAAGGTGTCATTCCATAATGCCATTGTATTTAATTTTCTCATTATTTTTATTTAAAATTTTCTCTATTTTTTTGCATAATTTTCTTCAATTCCTGACGCATTAATTATTTCAGGGGGTGGTACAGCTGGCTATTGCCCTGTCTGAAGAGGTAGAGGACCACATACAAGCTGCTGCAGCATGGGCTCTCGGACAGATTGGTCGGCATACACCCGAACATGCCAAGGCAGTTGCTGTGGCAAATGTTTTACCAAGGCTTCTACAATGTTACCTCAGAGCCGACGCCTCAGAAGATCTACAGACAAAGGTTTACTTTATACTGCTTTAATTCATGATATTTCCCTGAGAATGCCGTTGATATGCCTTTTATAAACATCATAAAAGACCACTTTAGGCTAAAATTCTGCTTCTCGAGTTTGTTCTAGCGACTTCATTGCACAAGTTTGCTGTACTGAGTGAATATACTACTGCTAATGTTTAAGACTGTTACACAAATTCAAAAAAAAAAAATTTTTCCAGCCAAAGATGTTATTTTGGTGAGCACCATTATTAAGATTATGGAATATTAAATTCATGTATACATTTAACCTTTTTACATAACCAAATTTTATTTTTTAAAAATTGTTTTTTTGACACAATTTTAATTACCAATATTTTTATAAAAATTGTATACTTTAATTTCTGATTTACTTTAATAAAACTTCGTCTTTCATTGAGCATTTAAGTTTTTTAAAATAAAATGTGGTCATTTTTAGTTTAACTGTTTCTATTTTCACAGACAAAAAGCCCTCAAAAAAAAATCCTCCCGAAATGTTCCATCGCCTCCCTCGAACCTCTTTACATGACCTCCTCCAAAAATCCTCAAACACGTTGTCGGACAATTCAGCAAAGTACTTCCTCACGACTCCAAGGCTCGTAGATTATTCGTTACAAGTGCTGGTTTGAAAAAGATACAAGAAATTAAGGCCGAGCCTGGATCAGCATTAGCGGAATATATCAACACTATAAATAACTGTTATCCAGAAGAAATTGTCAAGTAAGTAGTAATTCTTTGACTTCTTATGACTGTAATAGTACTATACATCGCTTTAGAACTTCATTTTAGCTGAGGTTATTAGAGTAAGAAATCTGTCATTCCAGAATTGTTTTTAACTTCAAAACATGAAAAAAGATGGATTGGGATTGTGAAAAAATAAAGAAATCTGAGTGAAAATATTGAAAATATGTGTATAACAGTGAAAAATAAATTTTTACAGTGAAAATGAGGTAAATAAAAAAAAAAGCATTTTATTTCATCAATATTTCTCAATATTTTACATACAGTATATAAAATAATTTCTTTCTTTCTTTAACAGATACTACTCCCCCGGTTATTCCGATGCTTTGTTAGAGAGAGTCGAACAGTATCATCCACAGAACTAAGTCAACGTTTAGACGCACTTCTCTCATCACGTGTTATCATCTCTTGCATTTACATAAAAAACAATCATTTTTACATTGTTAGTGAAAACCTGTTATTTGATATACTCTTAAAAAATTATTATCTTAAAAGTAAAACTTTTTATATTATCTCGGCAACAAAATTATGTGTTGAATTTGTTTATTTTTCTTTTTTTTCTGTGTGACTGTAGAGTAAAATTGTGTTACCGGTAACAAAAAGTGTACATGGAATTTTTATCGTTTTAATATGTGCTCAATATATATATATTATTTTTTTCTTGTGACTGAATGAAAATAATGTAATATAAACAATTAAACAGCAGTTGCCATTAAAGAATTTAAATTCAGCATTACAAAAATCATCCTCATTGTCATTTAAGGTAGTCATACTGTTTTTATGCTTTCCCGCTAAAAAAATCTAAAACCAGCCAATATCGTACCATTACAGTTATTTCCGGAATGTTATTTTTTCAAAATCTTGGACATAAGATTATTCACAATCACTCATCCTTTATCACTATGTACTTAATTCCAGTTATAAACTGTTATTATTGAATACCGAAGATAATACAAAAAATTTAACCTTCCGGAAATGACCGATTTATTACGATATTGGCTGGTGTTTGAATTATTTTGGCTGTAAAGCATTACAGTAAAGACTACCTTTAAAAGAAGAAAGGTGTGTATAAAGTAAAGATACGAAGACATATTTTGTTTAAATAAAACCTTTCCAAGCAATTTGTCGGAAAATTGCTGAAGATTTAAACAGGATCAAAAAATTACAAAACCAGATGCCAACTTAAATAATGAAGGAAATTTGAAACAGTATCACAAGTGTTATTTGGTTACAAAGAGGAAGAAATCGGAATGTTTCAGATTTTGTGTGTGTTCAATTTTAGGTTTATTGGAACAATGTTTTAGTGCGAAGAAGTTCTATCATGTCGGCAAAATAACTGTGATATTGGGAAAACGTTTTGTTATTTCTATGTTTAATTTATATAACGGAATTTGTGCTATTTCTAAGAGGAAATGACTGCCAATAAAAATAAGGTGTGTACTGCATTTGAAACTGAGAAATTTATTTACAGAAAAAAATATATAATGTAATATTTAATTTTAAAGTTGTCATAATTTTACAGATATTATACCAGGACAATTTTATTATAAATTTTGAAGCCTAAAGAAGTGGAAAAAAATTAATTTGAAAATGTCAAAAAATGTGACAACTTCAATTCTAGTTTTTTTTAAATATGTTTTATTATTGTATTTAAGACCAATAAGATTATCTTAAGTGTGACTTTTTAAGAAGCAAAATTGTTAACTATTTAATAAATTAAAATTATAAAAACAATGTATTGTGTTATTTCTATAACAGATCAGGCTAACAAGAAGACCTGTACAGTAAACTAAAATTTACATCAAGGTAATTAAACCTACAGTGGTGGAGACATATATTTATTAATTAAAGTTGTTTAACCACTTAAGCCACTTATTTTGTTACCAAATTTATTTATAAACCCTTGCCATTCTAAATATGTTAAAGGGACTCCACTGAGTTTTTTTTTTGACATGATGGAACTGGAAATAATTTCTTGAGATAGATGCTCCATTTGATGTAGGTCTAGACTACTAACTTGTGTACAAAATTTCAGATCATTCGCTCCTGTTTTTCCACAGTGATTAGTCTAATTTATTGAGGGAAAAAAAACGCTTTTCATTTAAATCGGACTAAAACTTGCACAAAAATACGATTTTCAATTAATTTCTTGGTTTTCCATTACACATCTTTCAACATGAAATGCCCCAACTGATTTTTGTATGAATTTCAAATTTTACATTTTTATGCTTTTGGACTGTGGGGGAGTTCCTTTAAATGGTCAAGTGCAATTAAACTGTTGATTATCAATTTTTGGTTATCAAGATGAAAATTTAAACTTGAACAGCCAACCAAACACGTAAAGAGCCTGGTCAGATTGCAAGGATAGCAAGTAAAGCTTATCACTTTTTTGGACACAATCTGGGTAAAGGTTAAAAGTACAGTCACAGGAAATGTGACCCAAAGCAATAAACACCAACACAGTAAAGGTCATAAGGAGATGTACCAACATTACTGGTGGAAGAAGTGCCCTTCTGTACATTATTTCAGGCAAGAACGGGCACCTGTACAGAGCCACTGACGTTCTGGATATAGATTCCTTACACGAAAGATTCCAAAGTTCCTGTCAGGATTCAAACCCAAAGCGGTGAGGTAGTGAAGTGGTATAATATACATGTTCTAGACTGGTATTTGTGTTTGTAGTGAAGTGAATGAAGAGATTAGTGTTGTTTTTTTTGTTCAACCTCTTATAATTATATCTTAAGTAGAAGTTTGTCCAATTATACGTAGAAACAGGATATGAGCTCTACAAATGTAAGGCCACTAGAATGTATTCATATTGCATATTTGTTTCACATGTCATTAAGACAAAAATGACAAAACATTTTTATGTTACTCATGAGTTAATTACACACATAAGACGATTAAATGCCTTTTCCTCCTAAAGCTGCACACCTCCAGATGAGCCAAAATATTCAAGAAAATGAAATTTGAGAAAAATGTACTAATATTTCAAGAAAGGTAAAAACAATCAAGATCAGTGTTTAAGTTTACATGTTATTTGCCATTTAAGACTGATTTTGCAGTATTTTATCACCATATTTCTACTGCGTTACTAATGCAGTAAGGGCTTTTTTGCACATTTTGACCTCTTTTTGGTTATTTGCATGGATTGTAAGTGCCAATTGCAATATGTAAATAACTTAATTTGTTCACCTCACAATATTTAACTGTCAAATACATTATCAAAATTTTCATGAAATTTAACATGAATCTGGAGGCATGCTGCTTTAAGATTCAAATTGAAAATATATTAATTTCATTAAACCATCAAAATAGTATTGTATATTTCAAATACAAATCATTCTCAACTTTGTTCAACATTAAGAGAGATATAAAAACAGGGAAAAAATAAGCACAGCCTTTTAAGGCATTAATACATCTTAACATAGATTTCTTTTCTTTTTGTTTCTCAAGATATAGGAAGTAGCAATAAAAATTGACATACTAGTATATTGTTGTAGAATTATAGCAATCATTCACTTTAGGGGTCCGATATACAAGTTGTTTAATATTTGAATGAAACCGTGATTAAGCAAAATAAAACATGTGGATTTATACTTTCCTCGTATACCTTGCAATCAGCAATGGGATTGTTGCAAACAAATTTAAGATAAGAAAGCTAGAGAAGGATATTAGACAGCTGCAATCTGACCAAGATTTTATCTATGAAACTTTAGAGCAACTTGAAAAAAATCTTACTGCTAAGATTAGCCAATCAAAGACAATTGGACAGAGTGTTGAAATCGAAATTCCAGACAAACCACAAGTTGTGGAGATCGGAGCCACTTTCCAGACCCGACTTTCAGACTTGGAAGGGAAAATTGAAACTATAAAGAATTATCTTATGGGAGAAAAGAAAGGAGATATAAAGCTTAGGAAGGAGTCGAAAAAAGTAATCGAAGAAATGAACGGCAAAGTGAGACAAACAGAGACTGTAATCGCTGCTTTGCAAAAGGATGTGAAGGAATCTCTGGAAGTCTTTGAGGACAAGATTTCACTAGTAAACAAAACGGCTAACGTGAAAATAAACGCAAATGGTGCAGTGCTGTATGGCGGTATAGGAAGTGCGTGCACCGATAACGGTGGAGAATGTCTCGGAGATGACAGCGAATGTCGAGGGGGGCGTTGCCAATGTCTCCCTGGGCTAAGTTACGACATACAGGCCCAGTCTTGCGTGTCGAGCTGTAACAAGTACGGTGAGACGTACCAAAGCGTGAGCAGGAAAATCATCCGCGGGTTCAATGACAAGACAGTTGAGAAAACAACCCTGGCTAAATGCAAGAAAGACTGTGTCGATGAGAAAACTTTCCTGTGCAGGTCGTTTGACTATTTCCCGCAGTGGCGCACATGCTATATGTCGGCAAGCGTTGTATCTGACGCAACTGAAGATGGGTGGGAGTACAACTCGGAAGGTCACCACTTTCAGAGGGACTGTCAGTAAAAATGTAAAGATGTTGAACTCAACAGTCTGTTTGGAATGGCTAACACTATAAATAAACTTTCAGAGTGACTTGGAATCTAGCTGTGTACAATACAAAGATTTTAAGTTTTGTTTTAGTTTTGGACTTGCTGTTTAATGATATTCATTACTGAACAGACAATACCTTACAATGAACCAGCTGTAAATTGTTCATTTAAATAAGTTTTTATGTATTTTGTACATAGATTTTTTAAAAAATTTACCTTTGTACATGTGTACTTTAATATTTCAAGATATAAATTTTAGCTTTAATAATAAAAAATCAAATTTAAATGATCAACTTTTATGTAATTAATTACTTGGATAAACAAAAAGTTTGTAAAATCATTAAGCTATACAATTTTCAAAAGAAAAACAGTTACTCTATAGTACAATTGTATACTATAGTAGATTAATTAAGAAGTATATTTTTTAACACAAATGGAATTAATCCAGCTTTCAATCACATATGTAAACTATTATAAAATGTTATTCTCATGAATAATTTCTAAAATAAAGCCAATTAAATAAAATTTTGCAGTTTAATTGATCTTATTTATTTTTCTCCTTGTTGAATTTTTATGTTACACCAATACTGCAAAAATCATACAGCTATTTTCCATCTTTACTGGTTGAAAAAGACCTCAGGTGCCCCCTCCATGCAATATAAACACCGCCACACTGAGGGTATTATTTCAGTTCGAGGGTTGCTTATATGAAATATTACCCAGAGAGATGTGTGTAATTATTTTCATTAATATTATTTCTCACCACTGCATTATTTCTCCCAGAGCCATTTATCAGTGATTTTTCATCAGGGGAGAAAACTACAACATTACTTTTTCTTAAGTTTATACAGATTACTCTCCCCTGGGAATTATTGTCAAAACCTAATGACCAGGTGATATTCATTTCCAGGACGATAGATCAAAATACCACCCTGTGACGTCACATTAGGCTATATAGTAAAAAGTTTTCAAGAGGTACAATAAATGCTAATATTTTACTTATTTATCACAGATGCAATAATATGCTATTATCTTAAAGATGATACAATAAATATTAGAGTTATCTATATAAACAACTCATTAATGTGAAAATCTGTTAACTTAATCAATTAAAAATCAAATCCTTTTTTCTTTCTGGTAAATAATCATTTATTTATCATACTAAGCAAGAACACTTGATATCATTAAGTGAAAAATAATGTTTGAAAATAAACACAATGCACTAAAACGATAAATTATCACAGACATGCTCTTCAATTAATGACATATATATATATATCTAAAACAGGATTTGGACTCACAGTGATGAGGGGCAAGTTGTTTGAAGTCAACGACCTTAACCATTGGGCCACAAATGCACCGTGTAAAAATAATAACTGTTCAAAATAGTTATCCCAAATTCCATGAATTATTTATGTTTCTCAAAACTAAAAGCACACATTCTTTAAGCCAACTGTATCTGTATAATAAAATGAAGAGCTGGACTTCCTTTTTTCTTCAGACTTGAAATATTCACTTTTTTCACATTTGAAAAAATCTTGAACTTCCTTGAATTTCAAATATTCCAATTTTATGTAATTCAAAAAAGTTCACTACACTGTCAAGGATAAGTATATAAGTATTCCCTTTTTGTTGACATCAAAACATTCACTGTGTCGAATTTAAAATATTCAAATTTTTACAGACTTTTATGATATTCACTTTTCATCATATTTGAAAACATTCGACACCATATCGCGTCTCGGAGCTTGTGGTGGAGCCACCTGTTTCAATATCTGTCGAGCATAATTTGATGTGTGTAATCCCGCCTCTCGTAATTTCTGTTCTAGTCTAACTCGGTTGTCAGAGGTAACCTATAAAATAAAAGTTAAAACACATAGTAAAATTGTAAATTACGTTTACCAAAACTTATAGCTACAACTTTACAACAAGAGCTGTTAGAAGGATAACATGCTCTGCTATTCTTAGTGCTTGATAGTAAAACAAGAGTCTGGATAATGTACAATTATCAAAGTTCAAAAACAGCCATAATTCTGTGAAAATTCATGTCAGAGTTATGGACCTTAGAAAGTGACCTCCTATTATGCTTTCTAACAATCATGTGAAGTTTCAACCAATTCCCTTGAGTAGTTTTGACGATACCAACATACACACAAAAACTTAACCGAGGTGTGACACCTGGGTGAGTTCAATAGCTTTCCCTTTTCTTTAACTAGTCAAGCTAATAACTTAATTGGACTTGTCCATTTTTAATCCCGACTAAACCATTTATCATTTTTAGGGAAAATTAAAAAAAATAATGGTCGCATTGGTAGAATCAGTTGCAGCCATGAGACTCAGAGTTATGGTCACATGGTACTATGTTACAATTTTTGTAGCTGACGAAGCTAAAGAAAAACTCTCTCTCTTTGTTATTATTCCTTCTGTGACGAAAATAGCCTGATACCTTTATTGATTAATTAACAGAGTTATTTCCCTTTGTTTTAGAAACCCTATTTGCATAGATCACTTAAAGACTTTAGAATTAGTTATTTAAGGAAGTTCATATAAATATGATTATTGTTTATAAGTAATAGATTTTTTAGACACTTGTCAAGCAAGTTAATCATTAAACTTTTAGACGCTCTTTGAGCAAGAATAGTTCTTAGCCAGCCAATCAGAGTACAGTAAGGTATGTTGATTGATTTCATTGGTTATCAGAGATCACGTGGTTCTACCATTTAAATAAAAAGCAGAGACACAGATAGATTTTGGGAGTTTCAGCTGAGACGTCGTCAAGGAAGGTCAGACAAATAAATAATTATTATCAGCTAATTAATATAATACTGGGGACTTTGTGCCGTAAAGACAACATAATAAGATTAACCACAGATATTTAGAGCATTGCGTTCTGATATCTTAACATTAAAGCATTGCGCTTTGTGTTCAGGGTTAAATCTTAGTTATATTTTAGTTGTACGGGTCGCTAGTGAGATTAGTGAAAAGCTGGACATATAGAAAGTAAAGTTATTCCCATAGGTTGAAGTGTAAAATTACTAGGAAACATTTATAGAAAGCTAACCATGAGAGTGATATAGTATTTCCCATTGGTTGTGTTTTAAATAGAAGACGTTGACTTGATAAAGTAAACTGTTTGAGGAAACATTGAACTATATTGACAACATCGTGTTTATTAATTCCCATTGATTTTACTGTTATTTAAATAATTTGAGAATCATTTATTTCTAATCATAAGGCAAAGTAGCCTGAGAAAAATTATATATATTATAATAGTCAAAGCTATAATTTTGCATAGTTCAAACGCTACCTAAATGATAAGACAGATGCACGGACACGTTACACTTCTACCAACAGGTATGCATGTAATACGTTTGTTCATCACATAAACCATAGCGCAGGAGTTAAATAAAACCATAAATAACTTTTAACTGCCATATTTCAACAAAAACAGTACGAGATTCCTTGATTTTCAGATCAACATGAAATGTTGCCGTAGAAGTACTTCCACAACCAAAATGTTTGAATTTCGAAGAATCGTTTAAACAAATTCAAACAAATCATAAATGCATCATGTTTGGAATTCAGCTTTATTGGTTGAGGAAGACCGTTGGCACCTCTTTTGTACATTATTTCAGGCACAAGCGGGCAGTCCTGAGTAGGATCATAAAGGTATTTATTTGTGAATTAGATTATAATTGAGCCATGTCATGACAAAACCAACATAGTGCGTTTGCGACCAGCATGGATCCAGACCAGCCTGCGCATCCGCGCAGTCTGATCAGGATCCATGCTGTATGCTATCAGTTTCTCTACTTGTTATAGGGTTTGTAAGTGAACAGCATGGATCCTGATCAGACTGCGCGGATGCGCAGGCTGGTCTGGATCCATGCTGGTCGCAAACACACTATGTTGGTTTTGTTGTGACGCGGCTCATATGATTTAAACATAACAAACCTGTGTAGCAGTGAACCCATGTACATCAAACAACGGTTTCTGAATATCTACTGTCTCGTCTTCTTTCAATCGGGCCTGCCAGGCTTGTGTCTGTGACATCAAACGGTCAGGGTTACTCTCTGCCACCACTCTCACCTGTAATAGCCGTACCAACTCTGATATCACATTTGTACCAAATATTCATATTGTAAGTATTCTAGGCTTAATGAAGGTCCATCAACCCTTTCAGGCACAGTCACTAAAAGTACGAACCCCAGACATGTCACCATTCATGTCCATAAATGTTATTATGAATTTATCAACTGAAAAGTGACCTATAAATTTTGAATTCAGTAATTAACTGAAAGATACTCAATATGTATGCAAGTCGATTTTAAAATGCTCATACTGTACTATCCTTCATTTATATACTCACACTTTTATGTGTGTGGGGTGGGGGCGGAGCCTCCTAGCACTAGCCTAAGCAGAATTATTGACCATAAAAAATGAATAATTATGAATTCGGAAACAAAGACTGGTAAGTCAAACATTGACTTCATATAGGTGTTCAGGGTCAGTTAACCTACCTTAAGAGTGTTTTTAATTCATTAATTGTTTCTTTTTTCAAATAATGATAATATTATCACAAAAAAAAACGTTCATTATCACAAGAAAAAACATTCAACAATGTAAAATATCTTGCTCAAATTTACCTTTTCCCTCAACATTTCTAGTCTATATTCCTTCTCCCTCTCTTCTAGATCTTTTTCTTCCTGTAGAAATTTCCTTTCTTCTATCTTTCTTTGTATCTGTTCCTCTCTATATTGGATCCTGTAAAATAATGTTGATATTTTATAAGATATGATGAAGAATAAAAACCTTTCAAGACCATACAAAACAGGTACATGTATTACTAATGGAAAGCTTGTAATTTGCTTTCAACCACTCACAAGCCTGATTTATGGAACTAAACACTGCTGGTGTTGTATCAGGAAACAATATGTGGACAATGTAACATTCAGGGTGTACACTTTTATCTGAAGTAACAGATAAGCCTACTTAAAACAACCAATTTGGCCAGGGATCAAGAGGTATTTTAATCTACAAGCTGATAATACGACCAATTTGAACAGCATTTCAACTGATGAAATGGATGGCCAATCTGTTAAATACTGAAAACCCTGAATGTTTATTAATCCATGATCTCTTGATTGAAAAGAAAGATTTTAGACACACTAACCACCATAAAGGCCATATCTCCTGATTTACAGATGCATGCCTTTTCCCAGCGTCAGAGATTCCTAGGCTTACATAAGTTACCAGATTTTATGATTCTGCTGGAAGATAAGGGAAAGGATGAAGTGTCCATTACATACTCAAAGATAAAACTAATATTGATAACTTATTAATTTAAAGCAAATTCTACAACCTAAAAATATGAGTTAATATCATACCTTTCTTTATCAAATACAGCTTGTTCAGCTAAAGCTTTATGTAATTCCTCAAGCCTCCTTTTGTCTGCCTCTTCTCTCAATCTTTTCTTCTCCTCTTTTTCATGTTGAAAAACTTTTATCTGTAAAACAATTAAACAGAAGAAATCACAGGTCTCTTCAGCACCTAATCATTAAAACCATAAAACTATATATTTAAATAATGAAACTTATAATGAAAGTTTTTAGGGTCCTTTGTTGTTCTTTTTTTTAATTGGGTTTTACATCACACCAACACAGAATAGGCCTTATGGTAACTTTCCAGCTTTACTAGTAGAGGAAGACCTCAGATGCCCTTCCTTGCAATATTTCAGGCACAAATGGGACCCCGAGTATAATAGCCAACATTTAGTAAGCAAGCTGGATAGCTTCCTCACATGAAAGAATCCAAAGTCTGTCAGTCCCTATTGGGATTCAATTCAACAGCGATAAGGGGCAAATGAAACAAGAAGTGTCCATAAAACATGTCCTCAACTTTTGCATAATTTTGTCAAATATTTCAATTTTGATGGGAAACAAGGACATGTCTTTAAAGTTTTAATCCTATGTCTTTTGTGGATTGTGAGAAATTAACATTATATATAAAAACAGCTTAATTTAACTAGCACTTCCTAGAAAACAAATATTTTAGAACTATAAATTAAATGCCCATTAAAGTGTAAATGGTGGCTGCACAGGTCAAAGTCAAAATTAGTTTACATTTTCATAAATAATAAAAGTTCATCAATAATCAAAGGGACCCATGGATATTTCTATAAATATCAGTCGGAATGTATCAGTAAGTCGTTTTGTAATTTAAGTAGTTCTAAATATTTTTTTTAATATCAATTATAAGTCAATCACCAACAAAATAGTCAATCTCTTGAAATAGATTACTAATTCAACTCAACCTTACTATGAAAAAAATGAGCATAATGTCACTTTAACAATTTTATTGATATAATATGCTCATCCTTGAGTAAAATATTTTATTCACAGAATTTTATTGAAATCTATGAAATTCTTGCTAAATACATGTATGTCTTATTTGAATAAAAAGAATGAATAAACTATATATGGGAAGCTGGGCTCCCTATTACAGGTCAAGTCAAGAAGGTCTTTTCTTAAAAAAAATACAGCTAGTTTTTTTAATAAAACTATGTATTCATATTGTGACCACCTATCCTATTTACTGTCCAACTTTATTTGTCACCAATGAAAATGCTGTATTATTTAAAAATCCTGTGTGTTAATTTTCATAGAAGAACAGGAGTCAAAAGTAAATCGAATTTTGTTCATAGTCGACTTCTATTTTTCATAGTACTTCATAGAACAGCATAGTGACGTAATAAAGTGAGTGATTATGAGGCCAAATAAAGTTTGACACTAAATATGTTAGTATTCATCCGTAGCTGTTCTACAGAAATTAGAAACATTCTCCTGTCACCATCGCTCCCGTCAAGGTTACTAATTGCTGTAGAACAACACGGATGAACACTAACATATACATAGAATTTTCAACATATTATATCTGCTCAGTGTAAAGTCGAAACATGTTTATTTTATATTTACAAAGAGACTGTGTAGCAATTATCAAGATTTTCTATTATTACATTTAAGCATAGTATATCTTTAATCTGTGTTAAAAGAGAAATTGTATGTACAAAATTTCAGAATTAATACTTGTTTCTTATCCTCATTTCTTCTTTTGCTTTCTTTCTCTTTCTGTTCATTGGCCTTCATTTCAATCTCCTCCCTTTGTTGATTCCACATCTCCTCTTGTATCTTTTGTACCTCCATCTTGTGCTCACGCCATTGTTTAACCTTTAATGCAAACAATAATTGGTTTACCTTTGATGTAAACAATTATTGGTTTACCTTTAATGTAAACAATAATTGGTTAACCTTTAAATAGTGTAGACAATAATTGTTCTACCTTTAGATGATGTAAACAAGAATTGTTTTACTTTTAATGTAAACAATAATTGTTTCACCTTTAATGTAAACAATAATTGCTTTACCTTTTTTGTAAACAATAATTGTTTAACCTTTAAAAGATGTAAACAATAATTGTTTTAACTTTAGATAATGTAAACAATAATTGTTTTACCTTTACATAATGTGTTTACCTTTAGATTATGTAAACAATAATTGTTTTTTTAACAATATGTGTTTACCCTTTATAATTGTTTCACCTTTAGATTAATTTTAAACAATAAATTAATTACATTTAGTTCATTTAAACAATAATTGTTTTACCTTTAATGTAAACAATTATTGTTTTACCTTATATGTAAACAATAATTGTTTTTACCTTTAGATAATGTAAACAATAATTGTTCTACCTTTAGATAATGTAAACAATAATTGCTTTACCTTTAGTTAAAATGTAAACAATAATTCATCAAGACAATTTTGTTTAAGCTTTCTTTTTCCTCTTTTTTGTCATGTCTTTTTTGTTGGGTTTATTTGATGTTCAGTCAAAATTTTGCATACTGACTAACCCTACTCAAAAAAAGGGAGACAAGTTTGTAAACACACTTTGGACATCTATTCTGGAGTAACATCCCTTTGACTTTCATTCCCACTTACGTGGGTGAAATGTCCTTGTTATTTCCAAAAAATATCCAGTTAGCCCAATCAAAGCATTTTAAACAAGAGCTCTTTGTTGGACAGCACACTTGACTATTTTCAGTGCTTGATACTTAAACAGCCTGGATAGTGTTGGCGATAACAAATCAAAATACATGACATAACTTATGAATCTTGAATAGCACAACCCAAAGATACTTCAGAGATATATCCAACCTACCTGGTTATATAGGGCGTCCCTCAAAGCTTCATGTTTCTTTGTATATTCTAGTTTAACTTCCTCCAACTCGTGAGCTACACAGGCTTCAGTGAACACGGCTCTTGCTTTCTCCATAAGTTCTTCCCTGTCCCGTTTCCAGTCTGCCATAATACCTTTACTTCTCTGGTTGAAAAATTTGTAAGTGTCCCACCAGAACTCATGCTCTACCTGAAAAATAATTTAGTATTTAAAATGATTAATTTATCTGAAACAAATATTTAGTTAATTCATTTATAGGAAAAGACATTTAAATAATCAATACAAGCATTATACAAGCATGATCTAAATGAAAATATGACCAAAAAAAATTGTAAGTTGATATTTTACAAATTGTGTCAATTATAAACATCTTCTTTGTAATTTTATGGAAAATAACTCTACTTGAACAATTTCAAGAAAAAAATCGACATTGTCTTAAAAAAAAAATCTTCACAATTTAGTGAAACAAAGCTTAAATTTAACGTAGATCTAACTTGTCAGTATACTCACAATGTCGGCCCTGGTTTTTCCGGGTACTTGTCGTTTTATTCGGTCAAATATCAACATCCTACGGTTGGCTAGATCGTACGTATACTGGTCATATATAACAACAAAATGCGTATGGTCAGACTCACTCCATCCTCCATATTGTCCGTGACTGGAAAAAATAAAGTTTTATTTTACTTCTTTCTTTGGTACAGATCAAGACATTAAAACCCCATAACTATGGATTTACTTCTTTGGTACAAGTCATATAAAAAATCTGAACATTTCCAGGTCCATCCAATTACATTAATTCAAGTATAGAAATTAGGTAAAAACATAAAAAGAAACTTCCAAATTATCTATTTTTGTTGTTATTGGGGGATACATTTACTTGACACCATTTTAGACATTTTTTTTTGCAATTTTGAAAGACCACCCATCTAAAAAAGGAAACTCAGTACAAGTTACTGAAAAGAAGGAAACCCTTAAGAAATGAGAAAGTTAAAAAAAAATGTATTTAAAAAATCATTTTTTAACATAAATTCAAGGGGTAATAATTCTGGAAAAATGTGTGCTAGAGTTATGAATCCTGAGTCACACATGATGTGGGTGATGATAAGGGACATACATTTAAAGTAGATATCTTGAGAAATAAAGAAGTTTTTAGCACAAAGATAACATTTTTTATGGAAAAAATCTCCATGGGAAGATAATTCTGGAAAAATTGGTGCTAGATATAAATACCTCGTAGTAAATATGATGAGGTTGATGATAAGGTTTATATTTTTGAAGTTTGAAGTTTATACCTTAAAAAATAAATAAGTTACAGTAAATAGAGGATATTGAATGAGTGTAGTTCAATACTAAATTTATTGAACAAGTTGAATAAAATCATATTATGCGAGCCTCTGGCGAGCATAATATTGTTTTATTTGAAAGTTCAATGAATTTAGAATTTAATCTACACAAATATAATATTCTATTTATCATGTATATATAAAATAAGAACAGTAAACTGTTAAAATGAGTAATTTTTCAATGACGCGCCCATAGTGAAACGCTAACATTAGCGCGTTTTAACGCTATGTTTCTATATAGCGCAAATGACGTCACATCAAAGTGTTATTACACTAGTGTAATATCGTTTTTATTTAATGGCTTTTTTACACTCCTGTGCCGCAGTTTATGTGATAAAAAAATATATTACTGCACAGTAACTTTATTCTGAAATCTGGACATATAGTAGAGCTAAAAACAGAAGGCCAACAAGTCCATTTAAGATATTCAGAAGGTAAAGCATTAAAACAACTTTACTAACAATCTCACCTTAAAGTCCATTCATGATCTTCTTCTAGATTATTTAACCGCTCCAGATACTTTTCATCAATGTATATAAATTCTTTTAAAACATTGGCTTTCAGATCTTCGTCCGGGCACTCCATATCAAAGGCTTCCTCAGGTATCCCTTGTTGAATATGGGGTCTACGATATAAATTGGCACTCCCAAATTCACCATGCTCACCTGAAGACAATTCCAATTTGAACAATAATCATTCACTATTATCAATTTTATACTAGTATTACTGTTACAATACATACAAAACATGTCCCGTTGAAAAAATAATATACTGTTAAGGTAGTCTTACTGCAATACTTTCTCCCAAAAAAATCTCTAACATTGGCCAATATCATAATAAATTGGTTATTTCTGGAATGTTATTTTTCACAATCTCCGGTATTCGACAATTTTTCACTGTTTATAGCCTAAATTTAGTACAAAGCGATGAAGGATGAGTGATTGTAAATAATCTAATGCACAAGATTTAGAATAAATAAAGTTTCGAAAATAACCGATTTGCTAAATACTTGCCGATGTCATAATTTTTTGGTGGGAAAACATAACAGTAAGACTTTAACAAGAGCTGTCACAGGAGACAGCGAAGCTCGACTAATAAAATACTGGACGCAGTAAGGAGGACAAAACTATGAAAGAAAAATCAATTATGTATAATTATGTATTACGTTATAGTAAAAAAATAACATTTGTTAACATTAATTCCAAGGTCAAGGGGAATAATTCTAGAAATAGTCATGCTAGAGTTATGGACCTTGTCACACAACATTTGTGTAATGATAAGAAATATATATTTGAAGTTTGAAGTTGATACCTTAAAAAGTAAAGAAGTTATTATATTTCTTAAAGAAAATCCTAAGTTCAAAGAGAGATAAATCTGTAAATATTGCTTCAAGAGTTATGAACATTGTCACATAAAATGTAATTGATGATAAGGAATAAGTATTTGAAGTTTGAAGTAGATACCTTTAAAAATAAAAATGTTGTAATAAAAAATAACATTTTTTCTAGTAAAAAAATCTAAGTTTATGGGAGATAATTCTTGCAATATTGGTGCTAGAGTTATGAACCTTGTCACATAAGATGTGGATGATGATAACGTAAATATATTTGAAGTATGAAGTTGATCCCTTTAGAAATAAATAAGTAACAGGTAAAAAATAATATTTTTTATGGAAAATTCTAAGTTCAAAGGGAGATAAATCTGAAAATATTGGTGCATAGAGTTATGAACCTTGTCACATAAAATGGGGATGATGATAACGTAAATATATTTGAAGTATGAGGTTGATCCCTTAAGAAATTAATAAGAAACAGTAAGAAATAGTATTTTTTGAGGAAAATTCTAAGTTCAAGGGGAGATAAATCTGAAAATATTGGTGCTAGAGTTATGAACCTTGTCACATAAGATGGGGATGATGATAAGGTACATATATTTGAAGTATGAGGTTGATCCCTTAAGAAATAAAGAAGTAACAGTAAAAAATTGTATTTTTTAAGGAAAATTCTAAGTTCAAGGGGTGATAAATCTGAAAATATTGGTGCTAGAGTTATGAACCTTGTCACATAAGATGTGGTTGATGATAAGGAACATATATTTGAAGTTGATACCTTAAGAAATGACAAAGTTATAGTGAAAAATATTTTACTGCACCAAAACTTTAATCTAAAATCTGGACGCGGACGCCGACGCCGGGGCGAGTAGGACAGCTCTCCATATACTTCGTATAGTCAAGCTAAAAAAAGAGACCAAAACTTATCAACTTTATTCGATGGTTTGTCTTAAAGTGTAATATAATTGTGTACATTGTATAAAACCTTGACAACAAACACTGCATGAAGCCTATATAGATTTACAAACTTTATACCATTATTATTATTATTATTATTGCAACCATTATAAGTATATACTAAATCAGAATAAAAAACTTAAAGGATCATACACTGCGGCTGCCGGTACAGGCCAGAGTACACATGTATATAGCTCTCAGTTTAACTGTTTACAGCGGTAACGAGGCTCTTCCAAGTTTCTACAACACAGTTACTCAAACAGTGGATATTCAAGTGTGTATCTGCAGCCAGTGTTGACGGACTATCAATTTGAATATAATCATATTCACTCAGTTAAAATTGAACTATTTTTATTTAATTACAGATCTATGCAAAAAAAATCTGGGGAAAGGGTGATCCCTCGGAAGCATTTCTCACAACAAGATAATGTGAAACTTATCTCTATAAAGAACAACCTCCATGTCTTGTTCCTTTTTTGTTTTTTTTTCTTACCAAGTTTCAATTCTTGTTCTAAACAGATTTGCTCATGTTTTAACCTCTCAAGTACTTGTTGTTGTTGAGTTTTTACCGAGTCTACCATTGATCTGATCTCCTTGTGTTTTTCTACTGTCTCCGGTGCACCAAGTCTCAGATCAGCCAAATTCTCCTGCATCCAAAACTGTAAATCTTCCCTACATATATATAAAATGTACATGATTAACCCTTTACCACATATATACGCGAAACAACGCACTTTCGACCCCCCCCCCCTTTTTTAGGCCTCAAATAGTGAAAAAATGTCCTATTTGGGCCCCAAACATAAGTTTTCGTTTGAGAAATGTTGCCAAAAAAATTGAGCACTTTTTCGGCGCCGCCCCCCATCCAAAAGATACATCAGGGGGTTGCCAGAAGGGGGATGTGCCCCCTTCTGTTAGGGGGGTTTGAAGGGGGGCGGAGTCCCCCTCATCGCCAAGAAAATTTTGGACTTGTGAGAGGCTAAAAATGACCCCAGGTCGATCACAATGTAACGTTTAACCAACGCTGAAAAGCCTTTGACTCTATCTCAATCCCTTGAGCAGTTGCAGCACTTTGAAATAAATTTTGATGGAAAAATCGAGGCAAAATAGTGATTTTTGGCAATTTTGAGATGTCCCCTCGATGCCATGGTAACAGGAAATTTAAGACTGAGCATGTCGTTACAAAGGCAATGGTCCAGTCAACATTTGTGCCAAGTTTGATTAGTATTGAAGCATTTTTCATAGTTTCATAGCAGTTTGAACTTGTAACAGGAGGCTTTTCAGTGAAAACGGCCATTTTTCACAATATGCTCATGGGGGAAAGGGTTAAAAACACTTACTTGCTGTAGCTTTCAGCGTTTAAGCCTTCTACAGCGGCATTTATTTTACCTTTAGCGTTTTTAATACACATGTACAGCAAATCAGAGATTTTATCTATATGGTACATATATATAGATTTGTTTTAATGAAACAGTTTGATTAGATTACATTCACAGAGATTATACTCAACACAGATTGAGTTTCAGCAGTGTATGCAGTATGAGAATTTGTATGTAAATTTGAATGTATTTCAACCCCCCCCCCCCCCCCCCCCCCCCCCCCCCCCCCCCCCCCCCCCCCCCCCCCCCCCCCCCCCCCCCCCCCCCCCCCCCCCCCCCCCCCCCCCCCCCCCCCCTAAAAAAAAACAAACAAAAAAACAAAATTTTAACAAAGATACAAAAATGAATAACATTAATAACATTGCAGTAATTTTTCTTTTTTCCCTTGCAAGTTTTAATAATGCAAGTTTCCACAACTAAAAAAAATGGAAATTCATAGATAATAACCACTTTAATATGCAATTAAAATAACCTGTAACTCATACAAAATATATAATTAAAGGAACTCCACTGAGGTAAAAAAAAACCCTAAAACATAAATTTAAAATTTGAACATCTAAATCTGCAAAGGGTTATACAGAAAGTTCATCACAATTAACTTCAAAATCTTTTTTTTTTGTGTGATTCTTAGCCTGATTTGAGTACAAAGCTTTGCACTGATTTTCATTTTTGGACCTTCAAATTTGCACAATAGAAATTACTTTTCTGGAAAAACAGGACAAGGGAATTATCTGAAAATTTGCAAACATTTAGTTTTTGGTCTGAACCTGCATTGAATTGTACACAAATCTCGGAAATGTCCAAAAACTTCAACTGGGTCCCTTTATTACTCAATTCTGATAAAATATAAAATTGTAACTGATTAAAACTAATTACCTTAAGTTCCAGACAGGTTCTGTTGTTGATTTTTTAAAAGCTGCAAAGTCGGAATCCAAGCGAGACTGGTTGTCTTCAAACTCCTGATAAATCTGCGCACATATACCGGTATCACCTGCATTTGTTCTTATATGATTATCAATATCAGCTTGAGTACGTTTTCGTAAACTATTCAACTTGATAAACTCTTTCTGCCACACCATTTTATGCTGTTTTAAAAGGTTGTTTTCTTTATTCTGTTTCGATAAATGCTCAAATTTTTTGACTTTCAACAAAGTTTTGTGTGCAGAGAATTTCTTTTCAGCTGCAATGTTTTTTAATTTTTCATAGTCAACAGGTCTGATCTTGTTACTTCTAACTCCATCTATTGCCCTGTGTGCCAAGCGGTCTAAAATAAAAAAAGAAATAATTACTTTATCATTTAAAGGTCTAGTGATAAATTTATCCACTCCATTCATTTGTTTAAATAGTGTGTGAAGTGGTTAAAGAAATGTTCTTGCATGTCACAAAATATCAACTTAAATACATTATGAATAATTAAACACAACAGGTAGAAAATTATATTTACTTTTTAATACAAAAATTGATTGATTGATTGATTTATTTGAGTTTTATGTCACACCGACACAGTATAGGTCATCTGGCGACATTCCAGCTTAACTGGAGGAGGAAGACCTTAAGGTGCAGAATCTAAAGTCCAAGTCGGGATTCGAACCCACAGTGGTGAGGGTAAAATGGTTTGAAGTCATCGACCTTAACCACTCGGGAACGGACACCCCTTAAAAATTGATTTAAATACATAGAGAAATCAATACATTAGCCTAGCCCAACAAATTGTGCACTTTAGGGCTTTTTTATATAGACGATGGTCGCCCTTCGTAAAGACAGACATCTATGAAATATCAGATTATAAAATCGGTCTGTCTTGCCGTCGAAATATTGAGACTATACATTAGCCCAGTTAGATACGAAGTTAGATCTTTGTCACTCTTAAAAATGTGACTCAACAACTAAACATACAATGTACATAGGGCTGGGATTAATGAATTAATATTTCGTATTTAAATATCTATCAGATCCAATGAAATGCTACAGTTCAGTTAAATCCTGCAGTACAGTACTGTTGTATGTGTACATGGTGTAACATCCTATACTGTTAAAAACTTTTAAAAAATGTCAGAATTATGAAGTCAAGAAATCGACTAGCATATCAGACTGAGAGTGATGTCAAAGTAGTAGTAACTTTAAAGAACTGTTGGGTGTTCATATGAGCCACATATGCAGGTTCATATGAGCCACATATGCAGACACAGTTCTCTCCACAATAGCAGGACAATATCTCAGGAGATAAAAAAAACTGGTATAAGGAGGAGAAAATCTGACTCAGACTAGCATTTGTAAACACTGACTGGCATGTTGAAACTGTACAAAATATATTTACCTATTTCATCCGACTTGTAGGTTAGCACAAATGGCTTTTGGTCTGTCATATTTAAAAATGCCCTACCACATCAGCTGACCTATAAAAGACATCAAAATGGTTCAATCTATAAATGTGTTGGGCTAGAGTCAGTGTACCCGGAGTCGTACACTTTTTTAAGGAAAAATAAGAAAATTATCTTATAGTTAAAAATTCTTCTTATAATTGATATTATTTTGAAAATTACATCCTTTGCCCATAAAAACTGATGACCAAAACGTTTCTATCTTAAGTAGGTCATACTTCTAGGCGCACTTAATTTTAAGCAACAGGTATGGGCCAAATATGATAGATAGTGGACTCGATTCCGCACACAAGGCCATTTTTATACTGAAAGGTTATTGTACATCTTAAACATGTTTTATAAATTATTTAACATCTCTAAGTCCAGATAAGTTATATTGTTTTGCAAATTTTCAGGAGTTCAAATAAATTTAAAGCACATTCTTACTACAGTATACAAACATTTATTTCCAAGCATAGTAGCAAACAGGAAACATGTAACAGAAATTGAAATATACTTTTTTACCACTTGTAGATAGTAAACACAGACATAAAACATTATTATTGAAGGTTTTTTCATCTGTTTAGTTATGACTTGTTCGATTAAGAGTTTGGTATCATTTTAAACAAAAGAATCAAGGTGAAATGACTTGACGTTTGGTTATTGGGAGAAGTTAAATCATGTGCATATATTTCATAACTAACAGCAAATTTGCCAAAACAAAAACATACATTTATTTTCGAATAGATATTTTATAAATATCTTAACACTGAAATAGAAATTAGCATGGTTTAATTGCTGAAAAAGATGTTTTTATGTGTGACCTACACAGCCATGTACATGTATTTACATTTTCGTGTGCACTCTTTAGGGAAAGGCTGGGGTGCAAGATCCCAGATTATGTCATATCCTGTTGAAAACATGCCAGTTCAGTAAAACACAAATGAAAACTGAATAAAATCATTTGATTTTTAAAGAAAAAAATGAAAAATGGGAAAGTGTGCGGGACCGGGTCCTGTGCGGAACCGGGTACACTGACTCTAGACTCTTTTTTTATGCTGTTATGGTCTTGACAAATTCATGAAATTCGACGAAATGTAGAGGGAAATGATATCTGTAACTTTACACAAGTATAGTTTTTTACCAATTGGATGGTATGATGAATTTCTCGTTTACGTTAGCTATAAGGCTTTGTTGTTACATAGGCCTAAGTATAATTGAATGGTCAAATAAAAAATATTTGTTGACATTCGCTACGCGCCATCATGAATGGTTCATTCTGGGTAAACGTGCTGACTAATTTCCAGTAGTCGTGCCGGGTAAAATATCAACTCGGCCTTATACCGTCGTGCCGTGCCATTCCGTGTAGTTTTCTTCTGACGAAATTGGTAAGCAAGCACAAAACGCGAATAGTATATCTGTAAAACTTGGCAGATTATCTAAGGTTCTATCAATGAACTTAATTGGTCAAATGCATGCATTATTACGCACGCTCTTGTAATTTCGATCGAAAATCACTCGATCAATATTTTTGCAAGGGAGACTAATCTATAAAGACTTATGAAAATGTAATGTTCTAGTTTTCTCCCATGGCCGCAGTGTTTTATCGACATAGTGAAAAATTACATTAAATTCTTAAAAAGCACATATATTTCTGAGGGTAATAGTACACTGGGTAATAATAAACATGAATTGTACTCGTTTTCCTCAATTACATTACGGATCTTAATTCCGTGAATACATATGTACATTGTAAGTATTTGACGAAAAACGCACCAACATTCCAGAAAATTTGATATTTGGTTTATAGACAATTAACAACAGTTGCAAAATCTTGTTTTCAAGGCATTTATGTTACACAACATCTTAAGATTCAAATAAATGAATGATAAAATGATAAATTGGGGCTATGATTCAATACTTGTATCTTTTTCAGTTTGAAGTGCAATATTACGCACGTGACAGCTGCATCCGTTAAATTTCCGAGAATATTACGAAGTAAAGTAAGCGCAAATCAAACATGACAGGCGAAAAATGCTGAAAAAACGTTTCTAAAGTTTCTGAATAACTCAATTTCTGGGATAAATCCGTGGTCCCAGTCAATATGTACAATTATAATACATGTACATGGTAATTATGGAACATTAAAGCGGCATGTTACCAGATGAGCAAAACTATTTCAAGAAATCAAACTAATTAAAGATCTATAGAACAAAATGTACTAAGATTTTAAGAAAAGTAAAAAGTAAAAAGATTCATGATTCAAGTAATAACGTGCGATTTATGACTGATTTTGCAGTTTTTATCACCATATTCTACTGCGTGACTATAACGCAATAAGGACAATTTTTGCATATCTTTACCTCTTTTTGGAAATTTACGTTGATTGCTAGTGCCGTTTTCAATGTGTCTAATACTGTCTGCATGTCTTCACTACACAATATTTTACTTTTAAATACATTTTCAAAATTTTCATGACAATTAGCATGACTCTGAAAGCATGCTGCTTTAATACATGACTTGTAAAACAAAATATATAAAGTAATCATATCAAATATATTATTTTCGAAGAAAAGTTGTAAATGGAAATCATGTCATCATCATCATCATCATCATCATCATCATCATCATCATCATCATCGTCATCATCATCATCATCATCATCATCATTATTATTATTATTATTATTATTATTATTGTTATTATTATTATTGGACAGAGAAGAAATAAAATGCCCGGCGGTTTAGGTAATTTCTGATCTTGAAAATGTACATTGAAATTTCTGAGAATATCTAAATAAAATCTTTTAGAAGTACGACACACGGTTCTTCTTAAAGGCACACATTAATTATAAAAGGTTCCAAAATGCTGCTGCAGCACTTGAGGGTTTTTAGAAAACTTTGGATTGGAAGTAGGTGACGCAGTGTTAATGGAAAATTGTACCATATGAAGCTTTTAGAGAAATTAATGTGCCGTCTGTCTTCTTTAATATCATAATATAATATATGGCTTCAACTAGGGCGGATCATTCTGAAACCATTTCCGTTTATATACAAAATACCAATCGCAACTGTTCGGCCCTTTCCGTCAGTCTTCGGATGAGATAAGAGCCGAGGACTTTCCGATTGATAAAATACAGCAAGACTCCTCATTTTTAAGAACATTTGAGATTCGTAACGGAAAAATGCATCTGGAAATACCGGTAATCAACCCGGCAGGGTATTCGAACTTGCGACCCAGAAAACAACTTCCGCTCTAGACGTCTGAGCCAAAGCATCCATTCCTTTGTGCAGATGTTACAGGTTGTATTTATAGCACTGTAGGTTTTGTTTGTTTGATTGAGTTTTACGTCTCACTGACACATTATATCATATGGCGACGTTCCAGCTTTACTGGTGAAGGAAGACCTCAGGTGCCCTTCCGTGCATTATTTCAGGCACGAACGGGCACCTGAGTAGAAACACCGACGTTCCGTAAGCTAGCTGGATAGCTTCCTCACATGAAAGAATCCAAAGTCCCTGTCGGGATTCGAACCCACAGCGGTGAGGGGCAAGTGGTAGCACTTTTGGTAGCTGTGCAATCTCACGTTAATGTCAACAACAAATTTTAGCAACAGTACTAAGTGGAGAAGTTGTAGCCTCTAGTGGTTGAGATCTTGTCTTTTTGTAGTCTATGTTCTTCTACTGACAATGTAAAATAAGCAATTCTTCTCTGATATCTTACGCAAAAACCCTATATTTTCAGGTTGTATGGATGCCTTGCTCAGAAAAAAAATCAAATTTTGTCAACTACATGTATTGTAGTATTTTCCTAAGAATAAAGTAAGTTGTATCACGAATATGTGGAATTTTGAGGGATTTTTGTCCATAGATTTTATATTTATTCACTGCTTAATAAGGGGTGCATTCGACTTTCATTCCTTAAATGTATTTTGAGCTGTATAAGAACTTTGCGTCTTCTAAAGGAGTAAAAACGAACGGAGTCACTTCATATGGATGGCATTTATTGCTTTCATAAAGATACTTACACGAAATAGGAACGAGCTCTGCATTTTAACTTGTCAGTTAATTTCTAAATATATTATATATACGCATGTTTTCATTTGTGATTCTTTATTTGTTTGGGGACTCTTTTTGGATTTTTTTTGTAGAAAATTAAATTCATTGTTTTCGGGGTAAATGAAAAATAAACATAAATTGAAATAATGTTTCATTTGCAATTTATTCAATATATACACTATATAAATAGTAAATTGGATTTCAAGTTTCCATAGGAGACGAAAGCTTATTATAGTAATACTATAATGCTCGTGGACTAGCAAACGGTGCATCTCTGTATCTCGCGGGTGTTTCCTTCGCACGACAGACCGCCGAACCTCGCTGCCGGGTTCGAACACGATCGAGACCTCTCGGAGAATCCGGTACAATAGCCAGCATCGAAGGCTTGACAAGCGCTCCATTCAGACCAGTCTGTGAAACCATCTTTGATTGCTACATAAAATATACAGATTAAAGAATATTTACTCTGATAAGCAAACAAAGCTTAACCATCCCACACCTTCACGCCATTAGTTATCACTTACAAGAAGTAGATTCTTCAATTTAGTATACATGCCTATAAATGAAATACATGTATTGAGAATTATTGATGAAATGATATGCTTATTTTCATTTTCCGTACAGTCACTGTAAATTTTTTCCCGTATATTCACTGGTTTCTTGTCGGACTACATTTGTACTTTGCCAATACAACAAAATTTAGGGAAAGTCTTTTTAATTGTGACAAAGAAAAAAAAGAGGAAAATGTATATAATGTTTTATCTATAAATGCAGGATTTATTTATCATCTTGTGGTATGGAAATCATCATATTTCACTCGTGGCTATAACATTTTATTAAAAATACAACAAAAAGCGCACTAATGCAATTTTGAATTACATGAGAAAAACGGAGTTTTTATTACAAATAATATTGCAATAGAATATTTTTAATGAACATTGCTTGCAAATGATGTAATATAATGGTTTTTTTAGTTTCTTCACAAAAAATATATCTTCTTTTAACTAAATTGTAAGAAATTATTACCACAAGGCTCTAGGTTGCAAGTCTGAGATTCCAAGTGTGCCCCAACACATTCAGCTCCTCCATTGGCCGGAAGTGGACTGTAACAACGCCGGGTTCGATACTTCGTACCCTCTGAAAAAGTTGAGTTTATTTCTATTTATAAAGCATCAAGAGGTGCGATGAAAAATAAAAATAAATGCATTTGAGTATAGAATTAAACAATTAAATTTGCACCATTGCAAAAAATGCATGCATGTCATAACTATATTATGTCAAGAGATGAATTGCAAAGATGGAAAAAAGATGAAAAAAATAGAAAAGATGGAAAACAGACGGGAAAAAAAGATGAAACAAAATTTGAAAAGTGTGGCTCTCTAACGATAAAACCTGTACTCCCATATGTCAATGTAAATGTTACAGAGCCCTTTTCAGTAAAATAAAACCCCTATAATTTGTTTGTTTACTTCTATTTAAAGAAAAGCTCCTCTTTGTTTTATTTCAAATTTCGCAAAACAGCTCTACTTATAAATCACATCGGCCATCATTTTTATTTTAAAACTGCTTGTAACATTGAAATATGTCATCAAGTATGGTTTTTAATCTGTATGGCCTTGAACTTTATGTGTGGAGCAAATAGTATAACGATGATACCACGTATGTTTGAAAACTTGGAATATGCAGGGTACCTTCTTCAATGTGGTAATAACTCGCGCTTCATTACCGCTTATTATCCGATGACAAGTTAGTGACATTCTTTTTGTTTGAACAGTAAAAAAGCACTAAAGATGCCGTAGAATTATGTTTTAATGATAAAAATACATACCATCACATGTGGTGAAGCACTGTGACCATTCCGTTCATTGACCATATTGTCCATCTACGGGGTTTTCACAATTAACGAACGGTCTAGTAATTCCAGCACCATACCCCTAACGAACAAAAATATTGCAAAGTATTGTCAAAAAAATTGAAACGTCAAATCTATAAACTATCTGTTTTTATTACTAAAAGACTGTTTGGTGAACGGATTTTGAATTCACAAGCTAGAAGTTTGAGCGCATGTATCATATTTTTCATTTACGACGGACGCCTTTATGTCTTATGCGGTACGTCCTCCTTTACTCTCTGAGAAATGGGGAATATTGTATAATTCCCACAGGGAAACGTGTATTTATACCTCTACGTAGTCGAAAAACACTCGTTATGTTAGTGTTTTATGTAAACGGTTGTTAATGAAACTACATATCACAACTTTTATACTTTTTTAGTAATACTGATTAAAAAGACCCACATACCTCCGGGGGATTGGCTCGTCCATTTGCTTTTATCGTTTCAGAAAAAGTAGAAAGAGGGGGCTGAAATAAAAACGTAATCTCTACGTTTGTTAATCCATTACTTGCATCAATAAATTCCATATGTTTCAAACCATACGCGGAAGTAAATCTTCAATACAATCAAGTTCACGTAATGTAAAAAGTATAATTGTAAAACTTCGCACATTATCTGGGGTTTATCTATGAACTTTATAGGCCAGTTGCATGTATTATTATACAGTCGAAAATCACCCGGTCAATATTTTTTTTTGCAGGGGAGACTAATCTATAAAGCCTTATTAAAATGTAATGTTCTAGTTTTCTCCTCTGGTCGCAAAAAATTATGCATTACAGTGAAAAATTACATAATTTTTTTTTTTAAATACGCTGATTCGGTATACTAAAAAAGCACATATTTCTAAGGGTAATATTACACAGGGTGATAATATACTCGTTTTCCTTAATTACATCACGGATGTTAATTCCGTGAATACATGTATTTGATGAAAAACGAACCAACATTTTAGAAAACTTGATACTAGTATTTGGTTTTCTAGACAATAAACAACAGTTGCAAAATCTTGCTTTCATGTTATTTATGCTACACAACATCTGAAGATTCAAATAAATGAATGACAAAATTATAAATTAGGGTTATGATTCAATAACTGTATCTTTTTCAGTTTAAAGTGCAATATTACGCACGTGACAACTGCATTCATAAAATTTTTATGTTTTGACCTTTTTGTATTTTACGTTGATTGTAAGTGCGGTTTGCAATGTGTAAATTACTGTCTTTTTTGCTTCACAATATTTTACTTTTAAAATACATTTTTAAAATTTTCATGACAATTAGCATGACTCTGGAGGAATGCTGCTTTAATACATGACTTGAAAAACAAAACATAAAATAAAGAGATCAAATAATATTATATTATTTTCGAAGAAAACTTGTAAATGGAAATCATCATCATCATCGTTATTATTATTATTATTATTATTTTTATTATTATTATTATTATTATTATTATTATTATTATTATTATTATTATTATATAAATGCCCGGCGGTTTAGATAATTTCTGATGTTGAAAATGTACATTGAAATTTCTAAAATATTTAAATAGAATTATCTTTTAGAAATACGAAACACGTACGGTTCTTCTTAAAGACACACATGTATTATAAAAGCTTCCAAAATGCCGCTGCAGCTCTTGAGGGTATTTAGAAAACTTTGGATTGAAAGTAGGTGACGCAGTGTTAATGGAAAGATGTACAATTTGAAGCTTTTAGAGAAATTAATGTGTCGTCTGTCGTCTCTAATATCATAATAATATATGGCTTCAACTAGGGCGGATCATTCCGAAACCATTTCCGTTTATATACAAAATACCAATCGCAACTGTTCGGCCCTTTCCGTCAGTCTTCGGATGAGATAAGAGCCGAGGACTTTCCGATTGATAAAATACAGCAAGACTCCTCATTTTTAAGAACATTTTAGATTTGTAACGGAAAAATGCATCTGGAAATACCGGTAATCAACCCGGCAGGGTATTCGAACTTGCGACCAGAAAACAACTTACGCTCTAGACGTCTGAGCCAAAGCATCCATTCCTTTGTGCAGATGTTAGAGGTTGTATTTATAGCACTGTAGGTTTTGTTTGTTTGTTTGATTGGGTTTTACGTCACACTGACACAGTATAGGTCATATGGCGACGTTCCAGCTTTACTGGTGAAAGAAGACCTCAGGTGCCCTTCCGTGCATTATTTCAGGCACTAACGGGCACCTGAGTAGAAACACCGACGTTCCGTAAGCTAGCTGGATAGCTTCCTCACATGAAAGAATCCAAAGTCCCTGTTGGGATTCGAACCCACAGCGGTAAGAGGCAAGTGGTAGCACTGTTGGTGTGCAATCTCACGTAATGTCAACAACAAATTTTTATTTTCAGTGAACAACCTTCGTGACATTTTTTTTTTAAATTTACAAACATCACAACATTAAATAATCTTTTAAATATTATGTTGACAAAAACAAGACTTTGAAAGTGGAAACAGGTCATTTGTTGAAAAATGGCATTTAACAACAGTCCAATTTATTATATTTAGCGCAATATACACTTGCGTGATAATAGTTATGTTTAATGTAGATACATATATTATCCATGCATTATGCTCTTCTGTAAACCATGTCTTTGTATTGAAAATTGTACTTATTGCTAGGAAAGAAGTTGTTTTAATGCAATAAAATATTTGTAGTTGTTGTAGTTTTATTACGAAGTGGAAAAAGATGTAGCCTCTAGTGGGTAAGATACTGTCTTTTTGTAGTCTATATGCTCGTCTACTGACAACGTAAAATAAGCAAGCAGTTTTCTCTGATATCTTACGCAAACTCCCTGTATTTTCAGGTTGTATGGATGGCTCGCTCAGAAAAAAAATCAAATTTTGTCAATTATTGTGGTATTTTCCTAAAGTATAAAGTAAGTAGTATCACGAATATGTGGAATTTTTAGTTATTTTGCATAGATTTTATATTCATTCACTGCTTAAAAAGAGGGACATATACTTTCTTTCTGAAATGTATTTTGAGCTGGATAAGAACTTTGAGTAAAAACGGAAGGGTTTACTTAATATAAATAGAATTTATTGCTTTCATGGGGAACTATTTACATGAAATAGGGACAAGCTGTGTGTGTGTGTTGTCTTGTCAGTTAAATGAACTTTAATTAAAAATTAAAGACCGTTGTACGTCTCTTTCGATTTGTGAGTCTTTATTTAGGGGGATTTTGTTTGGATTTTTTGGGGTAGAGAATTAAGATATATTCATTGTTTTCGGGGTATATGAAAAATAAACATATATTTTCATAATGATTCTTTTGCAATTTATTCAATATATACACTATAAATAGTAAATTGGATTTCAAGTTTCCATAGGAGACGAATGCGTGTTATAGTAACATTATGCTGCTTGTGGTCTAGCAAACGGTGCATCTCTGTATCTCGCGGGTGTTTCCTTCGCACGACAGACCGCCGAACCTCGCTGCCGGGTTCGAACATGACCGAGACCGCTCAGAGAATCCGGTACAATAGCCAGCATCGAAGGCTTGACAAGCGCTCCATTCTGACCAGTCTGTGAAACCACCTTTGATTGCTAGATAAAATATACAGATAAAATATTTATTTACTCTGATAAGTAAAAACAAACCTTAATCACCCCACACATTCACACCATTAGTAATCACTTACAAGAAGTAGATACTTCAATTTAGTATATGCCTATAAATGAAATACATGTATTGAGAATAACTGATGAAATGATATGCGTATTTTCATTTCCCGTACAGTCACTGTAAATTTTTCCCGTATATTCACTGGTTTCTTGTCGGACTACATTTGTACTTTGCCAATACAACACAATTTAGGAAAAGTCTTTTTAATTGTGACAAAGAAAAAAAAGAGGAAAATGTATATAATGTTTTATCTATAAATGCAGGATTTATTTATCATCTTGTGGTATGGAAATCATCATATTTCACTCGTGGCTATAACATTTTATTAAAAATACAACAAAAAGCGCACTAATGCAATTTTGAATTACATGAGAAAAACGGAGTTTATTTACAAATAATATTGCAATAGAATATTTTTAATGAAAATTGCTTGCAAATGATGTAATATAATGGTTTTAATAGAACTGTTGTTTTAGTTTCTTCACAAAAAATATATCTTCTTTTTACTTAATTGTAAGAAATTATTACCACAAGGCTCTAGGTTGCAAGTTTGAGATTCCAAGTGTGCCCCATTACATTCAGCTCCTCCGTTGGCCGGAAGTGGACTGTCACAACGACGTGTTCGATACCTTGTACCCTCTGAAAACGTATAGTTTTTCTTCTATTAATCAACTTGTAACATTAAAATAGGTTATCTAGGTTCGTTTAGCAGTTTAACCGCTAACTTTGTGAGTGATGCGAATAGTTTAAAAGTTGATACAAGAAAACAACGGCTTGCCCTTGACGGGGTTTGAACCCATGCGACCAACAATCCTTAGATCACTATAGTACTTCATATGGACCATTCATCCCCATCGCCATTGTTATTGATACTAAAGCAGACGCCATAGAAATTACGTTTTAATGATAAAAATACATACGATCACATGTAGTGGAACACTGTGACCATTCCGTCCATTGACCATATTGTCCATCTACGGGGTTTTGACGATTAACGAAAGGTCTTGTAATGCCAGCACCATATCCCTTACGAACAAAAACAAAAATATTGCATTGTATAGTCAAAAAATTTGAAATGTAAAATCTGTTAACTATCTGTTTATATTAGTTAAAGGTCGTTTGGTGAACGAACATGTTTTCCAGGTATGACAGACGCCTTTATGTCTTATGTCATGCGTCCTCATTTGTTCTCTGAGAAATGGGGAACATTTTATAATAAGTCGCAGAAAAACAGGTATTTATACCTTTACGTAGTCGAAAAACACTCGTTATGTTACTGTCTAATGTAAGTTTACTTACATTGATTAAAAAGAACTACATACCTCCGGGGGATTGGCTCCTCCATTTGCTTTTATCGTTTCCGAAAATGTAGGAAGAGGAGGCTGAAATTAAAAATTAAAAAAAAGATTTCTGAATGCTCAAACCATTTCTTTCATCTATAAAGTTCAAAATTTACAAATCATACACGGAAGTTACATCATCGATATAATAACTTTCGAAGGTACATGTATACATGAAGAGTATGGACGTACTTGAAATACTAAACTATTTAAAGCTTTTGTATTATTTTACCAGTATTTTATAAGAATTCATTACTTTTTTAATCAGGTTTTACAGCGGAAATAACATAATTGCTTGATGTCGGTAGGTAGGCAGCTGAACAAAAACAATTTCTTCCGGGCTTAACTAATCTCACATTTCAAAAAAAAAATATCATCAATAATGACTCCATATGTTTTTTATCAACTTATTTTACATTGGCAGAAACCTCTTTTTGTGTGACACAATGCGGTAAGTTTCCTGTCTCCAGATAACTGTTGCAAAAGAGTTCCTATAGATACTATATTGTCCGGCATTTTTATGTAACTAGAACTATGAAGTTTCCGGAATCTAGCTGGGAGGGCTTTCTCAAAAGTCAGAATTAACTAAAAGTACTCATGCAAACATACCTTTGCCATATTTAAACTACTTCCATACAATCTTTGACGACAATCCCCGTCGGAAAGGTCACCTGAATTAATGATCACTCTAAAATCAGGGCACCGCCCGCCACCGCAAGTCTCTCCGGTTGAAATGTCAATGTCAGAGTTACCGACAAATTTGAAATACACCATTCTGTAAACATTAAATTTTATAGTTTTTACAAGATTGTGTTTGAATAATATGACTTGAATATCAATTTCTGCTACAAAATGAAACAAATATGTCTACAAGGAAATACGTGTATTAGATCCATAATAACATTTTTTTCGACGACACTTAAAGTGACATTATGGTCATCCAAGTGTAAATGGCCGGTGAACAAGTAAAAATAAAAATGCCTTGTTATTTTGCCATAATTGTGTTAAGTTGATATTTACGTGACCGACAGAATTTTCTATAAATATCGTTTAAAATGTATCGGTAACTCTCAATTTTTAAAAAGAGTGGGACAGTCTTTTATTTTTATAATTTACATAGTTTTTATATTGTATCATTCATATTTTTCATTAACAATTATTCTTAAATCACCATTATAATAGACCATCTTTAGAAATACGTAACTAATTCAACTCGATTTGACAGCGAAAGATAAACATAGTGTCACTTTAAATTATCACAACATTAGAACGTCTGCATTTAAAGTGGAGCAAATTAATTACATAATTATAAAAAACCTTGAATTTTCATGTTTTATTCGTTTCGTTATTGCGTTTTTTAGCCCTACGCAGAATGCACATTCGCGAAAAGCAACATACGTTACTATGGAAAAATGGTTTTGTAGAAAGATCTATATTGATCAATAATCTGTTTAAGCAATTTTTGTCATTATTATTTACGTCTATAATTTTAAAACGTTCTTTTGAAAAGAAAGACCTCGATTTTTGCATAGCCGGCGATCAAAATACTCTTGAAAGTGCAGTTCGATTTGAATAAGCTTGAATCATCACTTACAAAATATATATTAAGTTTAAAGCTACATGCGCCTCCAGATAAGCCAAACTAGTTTAAGAAAATCAAACTTGAGAAAAATTTCCTGGGATTTTAAGAACAGTAAAAAGATTCAAGATTCAAGTAATGATTTACATGCTTTGTCCGTTTAATGACTGATTTTTGTTATATTTATCAGCATATATATCTACTGCGTGACTAATGCAGTAAGGGTTATTTAACATACCTTTCTGTTAGTTACGTGGATTGCAAGCGCAAATTACTTTTTTAATTCCCTTCACAATAGTTTTACATTTAAATACATATCCAAAATGTTCATGAAAATTAGCACGACCCTAGAGTCATGCTGATATTTCAGTAAAATACTTTCCGATTTTATTTTTTTAATATGTACAAAACAATTACCCTGTTGTGTCGTTCATGAAATATTTCTTGCCATCTAGATCTGCATCCGGTGCATCAAGTTCACCAAGGGAGTTAACTCGCGTGAATCGACTTCTTGTAATAAGTCGTTCTTTTCCGCTCAATCTCGGAATTAAACTCTGAATTTCAACCTCAGCTCCGATTGGTGTGCACACGCCTATCCTGAGAGTGTCGCCCCTGTTAAAAAAACAGATATCATAAAATTTTATTACATGCATGTATTGCTTATGTATTAAAGGCACATTGTGCCTCGAAATCCATTTCTTAAAAATTCTTTAGAAAACGTCGGATAATTAAATAATGCATAAAGGACATGTTAGATGTTTTACAAAAACACAGATTGCGCTGAGCATGCAGAAATGCGTCGCACATGTAGCAAAATGTTAACAAAGAAGTATTTTGACTTCCATACAAAATACTTATTCACTATAGTTATACCAAAATTAATTGCAAACAGAACTCAAGATGCAAAAGATAGTTAAAGTATATAGCTAATTAATATGTTTTTGGAAACTGCATCAAGATACCAAATGTAAACAGTCTGTCACAGTAATGCCATAGATAATTATGTTGGTAGTATTCAGTACCATATGTGAAAACAAACCACAAAATAATTATATAAGGATATTGTTGGCAAGTATTGGATACATGATCCGATGTGACATATAAATATATAGCAGATTAAACAGAAATATTGTTATTTATTGTAATGTCCATATTAAACATTTTATCATTAAACTCCTATTTTATCAATAATATATATAAGATTTATTCATTCAGAAGTTAGATTATCTGAAAAATCTTACGTCTCAATACCATCTGCAGTAAACCGAAGCTTGTATGGCATTTGGCCGACACTGTGGAACGTGTATGTTCGACTCCCATCCAGTACCACCGGTGGGCCTGTTCTGGTTTCAAGCTTTAACTCGAGTTGAGCGCTTGGTAAATCATCGCGCACGAAAATACCATTAGATTTAGTATTTTTGAACTCTCTAGAAAGTCGCAGCTGTAAAATAATGCAATGAAAATATTTTGTTAAAACTGAAAAGTTATACTTTTATCAAATACAATTCTTTTACATTGTAGGCCATTTTTAGTAACAACTTTGGTCCGGTTTTAGAGCTAGCAAGTTCATGTGTTGGTACATTTAAGGTTCACATTGAAATATGTAAATGAAAATGTCCAGTTTCTAGTTCGGAGTTGATATATTGCTGTTTCATTTAAGCACTTTGCATAAGAAAACATTAATTAACGCCAGACCAAAAATATTTCAACGTTTCAAAAAAAATATTTCTTCTTTTTTTTCCTCTTACGCATGTAAAGGTCATCTATGAAATCAATGCCATAAACAATGTACAATGTATATTTTTTGATTCGCTTACATTTCCGTATTTAGTTTTGCAGATAGCGAGTCGCCAGTTTGGTCGGACTTTGCAATCGGCAGCCGCCGCCGAGAAATGGTCGTGTTTTACAATGTAAAGTTTCTCCTCCTGCGTAGAAGTGCTATTATAGAAAGTGAAACCGGAAATCTTTCCGCCGTCTTTTTCAGAATCCCATCCGGGGTCAACGCCGTTAACTCCTGATATTGCGTAGTTACCTTGACCCTCCTGTACAAAAAAAATTATATGAGTTTAGGTCAAATACAAACAACACTAAACAATAAGGAAAACTCGAAAATTACTAAATTAACCAAAAAGTAATTCATATAAATTTTGAATGTTCTTAATTCGACTTCTTAAAAAACAGCATATATATACTTTTTTCATTATGTAAAAGAACGATGGACGTAGAAAAAATACGCTAGAATTCCACTTTACCAAACTGGCGCTAACTTGACACCAGAAGCACTTTAAAAAAGTCTTGTTAAAATTGAACCAGCATTTTTTTTTTTAGATATATAGGACTTTCTTATAATTTTTTTGAATGGAAACAAATAGGCAGTTAATGTTCTTAGAAGGAAATACAGTCAAATATCGTTCGCTTGAACACGGAGGGCCTGTGAAAATTTGTTCGAGAGATCGGTACTTCGAGTCACCCGATGTTGAACCATTATCACGTAGAACATATGCCGAAAGGTTTTCAAACAGGCTTGCCGGGACTGGGCGATGAGTTTGAGCGAAGATAGGTATTCGAGCGATCAGAGTTCGAGCGAACGAAGTTTAACTGTAACACGAAAGTGGCATGTGTAAGGAAAAGAATTAAGATATTCCTTGTTAAAAACTTACCCCGTCATCAAAGGCAAACTGTAAATTTTTGAGCGGCGTGGTGACGGAGAAAAAGTAGGGCGAGTTACGTCTCTTTGCAATTGCGGCAATATCATAGAAATTGTTTGACTGAAATCCGTTAAACCAGATATCACTGTATTGTGTTGGTCCTTTCCACATAGTAATTCCTGAGTGAGGCTTTACTCTGAATTTCCTGAAGTAAATAAAAGTATTTAAAGTTGTTTTTTTACGTCAAATGAAAGGGGGCAATGTAACTATGCATTGAATGCATTTTGTTTACATGAAGACGTAAATTGGTACATAAGGGATTATCGAGCATATATAGTTGTTTTTCTATCCAATTTATTAAAGTGTATCTTGTCTTCTATTTAAAATAACACAAAACATTATTAAAAAAAAAAACAACAAACAAAAACGCATTTAATTCAAAGCAGACTATATATGAAGTATCACATAAAAAATAAAAATGCCAAAAAAATACAGAGGACGTTGGTGGTGAACATTTGCCTTTAAAGATGGGCGAAAACATTGTTAACGGTATCTGCTAACAAAGGCATAGCGGATCTGAAGCCTCTCTCGGGTCACGATGATATTTCCTAATATTCCACTGGCTTGTCCCAGGAAGCGGACTCAAAAGTGTTTTAAGTAGATCATTATTCCCTTCATAACAAAATAAACTGATAATGTTTAAACTACTTTTTCCCCTAAAATGCACATGAAAGAAACAAGATTTTTGTCATCAAATATCTGGGATCAAGAAAGAGTTAAACAATTGAATCGGAATGCTCCTTGTTCAAATACTTACATTTCTAAAATGATAATACAGTAAAGAAAATCATTATCAGTTATTAGAAAGTATCTAGAAATTAAGAAGCTTAATATTTGAACTTCTTTTGAGTCTGCTACTTTGCTAACCAATATGACGTTGCATGAGGAAACATGGTCATAACAACCCAATTAGGGCTCAAACCTACGCTCCCTGTGCTGAGAGGTCAACATGTAAATAACTATGTCTATTATCTCCGCGAGATGTCTCGCTAGTCTACTTACTCATTCCATGGTAACGGGAAGCTTCTTTCAAATCCAGCAATGCTTGGCTCACCAACATTCTCACTGTCACCAAGTATGACAGCATGGCTAAGACGACCGGAACGTCTGTCTTGTTGGCCTTCACTGTATAAACACACACACAAAAAATAAAAAAATATAATCAAGCCTAGACTCTGCTTTATGCAATGGCTAAACAGGCATTCACAAGTCAATACTAGACTCTGTTTTATTGATTGGCAAAATAGGACTTCATATTTTTGCAGATTCTTTTATTAAACATACGCTCCAAACATACGCTCTATGGCATAGCGGACAATTTAAATAATACACATTTTACAAAATATGGTATTTGTAATTGTTTGGACACTGGACATCCATTATTTAGAGACAATTGAGGTTTCAAAATTTGGCTGATTATCTTTAAAAGTATAAAATACAAAAGATGAAGCATCTGTAGGCAACCGTAAGGTGCTATAGATAATTGATATTTATTAAATGATTATGGGGCTGAAAATAACAAAATAATTTTTTTCATGGTAATGAATTTTTGAATGATATAAGAGCTTACTTTGTAACAAAAATTCCATTCCGGCTGTCCGAAACACTGCAATATAAGATGTATGTTATAGAGACTAAATAAATAAATAAATAAATAGATAAATTACCCTTTATCATAACTGCACTGATAATGTCATTTATTTACTTATAACATTTTAAAACAACATATTCTTGTTTACTATCATGTTTAAATTTCTCACAATGTTACCATTATTACCTTTAGGAATTAAAAGTTAACATAACTTACGATATACGAGAGACGTTAAGATAACCGCCTTCTATCCATATATTTGTTCCCCTACATTTATACCCTGAAACAGACAAACTATGTTACCAAACATTTTATATCTTATAAATAGAGCCTCCATTTAGTTTTGATATAGCTATTTTGGTATCATGTTTAACTACTTGAACTTAATCTAGTGACTCCATATTGTGATATTATGATTAACAAAACATTGCTTGTTTACAAACTAAGGTCACAAATCAACTGAAAAACTTGTAATCGTATTATCCCTCATTTTTTTCGGTTATATGTTTAAGTTTCGAATACACTCAAACAATAAAACGAGTTACATATATAAATAAAAAATTCATAGTTATACGCACAAAAGCAAGTCGTTAAAGACATACATGCATCAAATTGGCAATACTTTAAAAGTAAAACCAGTTATGGAATTATCATATTAATTAATATATTGGCATACAATATTAAATAAATTATGAAAGCTGTTTGCTTTTGAGATGAAATTCATCATATTAGGGTAAATTAAAAAACCATTAAAGTTGTGGATAGTGCAAAAAGTTTGACATATTAATTTAAAAGAAAGTGAGAATAAATTAAAAAATTATGAGAAACTTTTGCAATGTAATATGTTAACCTGCTATGGGTTCGGGCAGGGGTAAAACTGTGCTTTAATTTCTTAAAAAAATATATACTGTGGAAATTATACCTGTAAGTTTTGAAATTGGAATGTCAATTGGACTGGAAGTCGGATCTTTGGGGTCCACCAGAGGTTGCCATTTGTTGCTATGTTCAACATTTCTCTCATCTGTTTCTTTATTCCCGATCATGATACCAAACTAAATGATGACAAAATAGTTTCAAACATCATATTACAGTACTAACGCAGTAATGGTTATTTAAAAAAAATAGTTTGACCTTTTTAGTATTGCTGTTTGCAATATGTAAATTATGATCTTTGTTCGCTTCACAATATTTCATTTTTAAATACATTTTTGAAATTTTCATGAAAAAATTAGCATGCCCCTTTAAACTTGGCTCAAACTCCACACCGTCAAATGTTCAGGAAGAAAGTTGTGACGCGGACTCATATATGCTAGTTATCAACATTTAGGTCTCACATACCTGACCCTGGGAGTGACCCACGTTGTTGTCGAACTCCATCAGCATCGTCTGTCTTGCTTCAAACTTGTCGTACAAACCATAGGTTCTTGACGGAGGGAGGGGTTCGTCAGGAAATACAACCCAAATACCGGTACCTTCACCGCCAGCTGCAACGTTGTTTCTAAATCGGTTGAGTGGACTTGTAAACCAAAATCCCGCCGGCCGACTGTTTAAACATAAAGAAACAGAATAAATAATTTGCAAGAAATATCCGCTTGGATTTTCTAGTTTTAAGACATTAATACCAAAATGACCATTTTGCAATCGGGCGCACTCTCGTAGTGAATTGTTGACCCATTTTTAAATTCGACCGATGTAACTTGGATAATGTTCACGACAATGTCTTCCGTAAAATACGATCTTATTATACACGATAATACTTCAATCTCGGTTAGCTCGAACTACCCATATCTCGAACAAATTTGCACAGACCCTCTGTGTTTGAGACAACGAAGTTCGACTGTATGTCACCTCTCATATCAAAAGTAACGTGTATAATAGATAATATTCAAGAACATAGTTACGAATTAAGTTTTTTTAAATACCCATTTGGCTTTTGAAACACTTTTCCATTTACATAAAATGCAATATCGTCTAGGTAAATTTCAATTATTTTGTAAGCTTGCGCGACAAATATGTGTGGCTAATTGGACAGTCGGTACGTTATTAACGTTTCTATCTTCATTGGATATGTCGATATGTTTTAGCACTCAGAAGATACTTACAATCTGTCAACTGGTTCGAGAGATCCGTTACCACTTCTTGTTGACATTGCAAGGTTACCGTCAAATACGTTATTCTTTTCTCCCCCGTCTTCCAAAAAGAAACCATGGCCCATGTGGTTGTAACAAAAGTTATCCAGAACCTACATCCATCAAAAATTGAAAAATAAATAAATATATTAGATTATGAACCGACAAATGTGGTAAACGGCAGTGAAACAATTAGAATATTTTTCGATGTCATAAAAGTTAGTAACAGCATAAAATCAAAAGGTCACGTCCGTATTGCTTGTACGTGTATAAATGGCACATAGAATTAGGAAAGCGGTTTCGTATTTAAAGAAAAAAACAACAACCCCCACAAAATAAATACGAACCTGAACACCGTGTGTGCCGTGAATGGTGACGCACCTGGCAAACGTGTTGTGGATTGAGTTTCCTCTAAGATAAGGGACCCTGGCCCCCGGATTCTTGTCAAAGGTCATGTGAAAATGCACCGGGTACCGCCCATTATCTGTTTGCTGACCAACGTTTATCAGTTCGGCATATCCAATATGAACATTGGAATAGTTCTGAAGAATCTGAAAACAGATTTTTGTATTAAAGGCCTATTACGCCAGAGAAATATTTTAATTTTCAGGTCTCAAAAGTTGATTTCTGTTTTTTTGTTTGTTTTTTCTTTTTTTCTTTTGGCGTTCTGTTAAAGTTTTCGAACATTTACTCATTGGTCAGTTTCGGAACCAATTTTGCTTCTGTTGGCTTTTTGGCAATTAGGGCATGGATAGTGATTTTCACAGTTTGTATGGAATTCAGAATACTACTTTGTTTAAATTTTGCTACTTAAATGACTAATACTCTCACGTGCAGCGTTACATTTGTCACGTGATGATAATGTAACATGCTAATATTTCATTACGTTCAATAATATTTCAAACGTTATAAAACTTATAATTTCCTCTTCTCAGAATGGCAAAAAAAATTGTTTGCGAGGCATAATGTGCCTTTAAACTACGGTTTCCTTTTATAATATTAGTATAGATTCATTAATAATTTTCAACAGTTGAGAAAAAACAACAACAAACAATAAAAAAAAAACAAAAAAAAACAACAACAAATAAACAAGACAAAAAGAAAAGCCCAAGATTAAATTAAGTTATAAATAAATCTGCCGCATGCAGTATAAAATTATATATTTTTTTATTACTTTTTATAGCTTGAAAATCTCTCGATTTTTTTGGATTTTTAATACATGTATTCTGACAGGTGCATAAAATGTGAACTGTCCCGCTTATATTTTTTCCTTTAACAATTTATTTACATATTTACCATTCTAAAATTTGGAAACTTTATCATACCTTGATGTGGGCACCAAATGTATCTAGTTTGCGGACCTTGGAGTCGTGGCAGTTTTCGTTAAACTCTGGACACTCAGCCTCCATCTCTCCACTTATTACAACATTTTTAGTTAACATACCGACTTCAGCACGCATGTCTACAGCGCCATACAAGACATTTCCAAAATGCATGAATTTCACTGGTTCTGTAAAAAATCGTGTAATCATATTATAATATTTCTGAAAAAAGGCTTTGTATTATTCTTTCAAACTGATTTCTTTATTATTAAGTTTGTCAGACGTATAGATATTGACTAGGCAAACTCTTCACAGTGATCTGGTTGGCTACGCTCAAAAAGTGAAGCAAAGGTGGACCAATGGGTTGGAGTTTGATCAACTAGAGTAAAGACCAACATAGGAGAGCACTACAACGCTCCTCACTAACTCTCCACTTAGAAGGAGGCGACACACAGGCAGTAATACAAAACAAGTACCAAACGCGGCAAGTCTCAAAACAGTTACCATGTTACCTAAAATTTGTAATAGTAATCAAAAGAAGTAACAAAAAATGATATTTAAAAAATGTAAAAAAGAAGCAATAAAAAATTAAGTAGATATAAATTATTCTTATTAAGATGGCGGAACTTAGCCAATGAATCTCCCGCAAGGGATTGCGGGTCAGGATTGGTAATTTTTCTATTTTTAGAGCTTCTTATCCCTCTGTATTGTAAGTATCTGTTCATATATGTAAGAATAGTGTTTTGAATCTTAGTGGAAATCGTATATCATTCTGCAACATACCGTTAATACGAAACTGGTTCTTCTGACAATCTGGGCAGAACACAATAGTCCGTTCTTCAGCTTGTTCCCAGTCATAGTCCGTGGAGGCTATTACAATTTGATCTCCTGTAATTTATCAAAATCAAATTACTATCATGTAAAATCAAAAGCAAAGATCAACAAGAAAAATCAACATTCTCAAAATGCAATCTTCACAATATTCTGTCGCGAAAGCAACAGTAAGTAACTATCAAAAAGGAGCTCCTGAAGGTCAAATAGAAAAATTGTAAATTGGTGTTAAAAATGTGTTGTAAAAAGTCTGTAAATGCTCTATTGTGCCATAAATAAAGAAGCCATCTGCAAAGTATTTATTATAAAGTTCGATACCTTGACATATTTGTGATCACTGAGTCTGAGATATTCCCGTAATTTGCTTGTTTTCTAGGCTTCAAAGGAATCTCCCTTGCCCAAAATTTTTGTTAACAGAATTGTTGAGAAATAAATGATTTTACTTAAAGGATGTTTTCATTATTTAATTTTTGATTATTTTTCCGTTAAGGCCGCTTTTTATATTCAATAAAATTATTGTAGAAAACGTTACTACCTGGCTGCCATGTTGTAACGTCATCAACGGCTTCAACCAATGGATTTAGCGCATTTCTGTTTGAAATCATGAAGTTCTCTTGTTGCAGCCCTTTGCGGAGATTTCCAACGGTTTCTGCCGTAAAAATCATGTCTTCACTCATGACATATCTAGCTGTTGACGTGGTACCAAATGCGTTGGTCTCCTCACTCAAACTTTTGGAGTTTCCTTTTGTATCAGAAATAAACATCAATTTAAATGGAGGCAAATATATACATGTAGATAAAGATTGCATCAAATTTGCTTGTACATGACATGATTACTCTCTCTTGTACAAAATATCATTTTGAAGACACTTGTCCTTCCTTTGACGTTTGTTTGTCTTATTTATCAAATTGTATCAACAACTCAACCAAGCAGCGTTACTTTGATTTGATAAAAAGTAGCATAATTAACTGCCAAATATATATTTATTACAGCAGATGTTGCATTACCTTTCTGGTAGACAAATGCCCACGTGCTGCCGTCATCCTGCAATGACCTTAACATACTGTTGCCCGTGACTTCACCGTGCACGAGTGTCTCGTAAGCGTCATAAACCCCCGTACTCTGTACGCTCGGGTCTCTAAGACGTATTTGTACCTGAACAGCCATCATAAGTATATCCCCATCTACCACTCCTTAAAACAAATTATTATCTCTTTAAAAAATAATTCGAGATAAAATTATTATTCGAGATAAACATATGATTCGAAATAAACATGATTCGAGATAAACATAATGTTTTGAGATAAAGATATGATTTGAGATTAACACATAATTCGAGATAAACATATGAGTTTTTGTATGTTTAGCTTTTTGCATCATTGTTGTAGCTTCATCAGCAGCCTTGGTACATTAACTCAAGCCTAGGATAATAGAAAATGCCACCAGAGAGCTTTACCGGCTGAAATGAGCTTCGAAGCGGCTAAAACCTTAACTTCCATGTGACTTATGTAACACGCTCCGCCGTTCTATTATGAAGTTCGTTATCGAATTAGTGGCCGTGACATATATCATCCGAGAACCAGTGGACGGCCTGGCGAGAAACCAAGGGTTTTATATTTCGGAATACCGTTCGGTTGCTCCGATTTTACCAATTACAATTAAGTATTTCCATCATATATATCATATAGACATCGCTTAATCATTGTCTATTTTATTATATTAACCCTGTTAACACGAGAGATCAATATATTATAATGTTTATGTATGGTTTATGAACATACATGTAGTAATATTTTTTCTTTAAGTCGTTTAAAAAGGACAATATTTTATCAAGTTCACTTACTCCCAATATGGCGGACGAGTTCATCGCTACGGAATGACATCTCGTATAACCCGAAGTCCTTCACAAACGGATATCCGGTAGAATTGAGGCCAAAGGTGTAAGCAACTATACGTGGTGCAAGAGGTTCAATGCTGTTATACTGGTTCTCCCACTACAATATACAATAAACAAATATGCGTAACGTCTAAAAATACATGTATATGATACATTCATTGTAAAAAATAACAAGGGCAGCTGACAAGGAGACAGGAGGCAAATTGTTTGCATTACCTTGAATAGATATGTATTCAAGGTGCCAATCTAAACTGATTTCTACAACAACAACATCATCATCATCATCATCATCAACAACAACAACAGCAACAACAAGAACAATTCTACAACTGTTTACCTCATATGTACAATTTATATAAACGGAGCTAAACATAAAAAAGCTGTTTTTCTGAACTCTGTTGCTAAATACATGTATTATTAGTTCAATGCATGTTGACTGTTAGAAAATTAAAGTAGAATATTAAAGAAACGTGCCGGTGCTTTAATGTAGTAAAGGAAGATTTGTTTCAAATGTTTGAAAGTTGAGTGTCCTTTTCGAGTACGAGGCGGGTGGGCGATTGAGACTGCGTTCGGAAGGGAAATGAATATATATCTTATTAAAACAAAATTAATTTCCAAGATGATACAAATCGTTTGTTATCTTTTTAATTAATATCTATATAACAAGAGGTGATGGTAGAAATATTACGATTGAAAAATAACTTGAACATATGTTTATTCTAGAAAATATGCGTTTGACCAATAAAAGCCACCTGGGAAACGCTGTCGGCAAAGATAATTTGGTATGAACTATCGATATAATTTGTTTGAAAGTTCATTACAAAAAGTTCATTACCATCACACCGCATCGTTACTTTTAAAGGGACTCCGCTTAGACTTTTTGACATGATTGGACTGGATATGATTTTTCGAGATTTAATGTTCTATTTAATGTAGAACTAGACCGAAAATTAATGTGCAAAATATTAGATCGTTTGCTCACTCCGTTTTTCCAGAATAAGTATACAAATTGCGAAAAATAACCAAAAATTAAAAAGTGTTGCACCGCTTTTCTCTCAAAACCGACCAAGAATAGCACAAAAAATAATTTTGAATTTATTTCCGGGCATATTACTAAATTAGAGTTCGCATATCTATGTAGTTCAAGTATCCAAGTTCATCTGTGGAAGTTTTTTTATGTTTTAAGCTTTTGAACCTCAGTTCCTTTAAACTGTACCACGCTAAACAGCATACACTGGTTTGTCCATCTGTCAAAACCATTCTTTTTATTTTTGGAGGGGGAATAATAAATAGGTACAGTTTGAATGACTAACAGTGCAGACCACGAAAGCACGGATGTGCCGGCTGACCTTGGTCTGTACTGGTCGCTTAATAAAAGCTATTTTCGCCAGCAGAAACCAAGTTGCCTGAATTCCAGTAAATGTACACTGTGTCAGTTATAAATAGGACACTTCCAATGTTAAATAACATTATTATGAATGCTCGTGGCTAAGCAAAACTGCAATAATAGATATCAATATTTAAGTTTCTTTTTTTATTATTCTTATAAAACTTACAATACGTATCTTAAAAAATATCACTTGGCGCCATTTTTGTCTTGTTTTTAACGGTTGGATCATTTGAACAGAAGAAAATTATATCAATTTCAGTAGGACTTGGAATTTGCTTAAAAGCACAAATCTAATATACGGTCATTCCGCAAAACAAAGCCTTAGACAATCCTTGCGCTGAACATAGTTAAATTCCAGGATGCGGCTTATGGGGTTTATGCAAGTAAGAAACTTATTTTCATAGGCTGTTTAGACCCTAATAAACTATTTTCGACCGCTCATTATGATTTGAAAACTGTATTCATTAAGATTTAAAACTAAAACAGACAAAAAGGTTGAAACTGAACGGTTTACGGTTTTTATACCGGTCTTTTATCACGGATTTTAATTGAGCAGTACACTGTGACCAGTGACCGTCATATATCCGTACAAATCATCCTGCGTGGGTTATAAACATGCCCCAGTCTGACCTTGGCGATGACATATCATACTTATAGTCACGGCGGGAAAACACGCACGCGTCTGTGCACAAAAATAACAAACAAGTCATAAATCTGCATGATGTACAGATAATTGAAACTTATTTATGTATCACTGTTCTGCCTGGGGTCTTTCCGAATTTAACAGTATAGTGGTTTTCTTATCGCTTGTTTGTTTATATTTTCGTCATCAAATGTTATTATGTAGACATAATTATGCAGTCGACTTAATTAATGACGACAAATGACGCGACCATAATACTTTTTAAGGATAGTCACTTAATTCATTTATCTTTATCACGATCGCACAATAATAATAATAATAATAATAATAATAATAATAATAATAATAATAATAATAATAATGATAATAATAATAATAATAATAATTGTCATTAATTATTTTCATTATTTCTGAATTAATAAAACAAAGTTCATAAAACAAAAGAAGAAATTGCGGGCACAAAATTCCTCGTTTACCAACGTATATTTCAATACAGAATGCTTTGATTTCTTTCTTCCGATTCCATGCTAGCTAGTGTGTACTTAACTACTTCTAATCAAGAAAGTTACGTCTCAATAATGCAAATATGGTTTTATGAATTAAACTAACTTAACGTTCTCTGTGTAGACAATGTTTGATGGCACCGTCTAGGTTAGTTGAAGTACAAATGTAGATTAAAATTGATAAGCAAATCTTTGTTTTATCATAATAGTGAAATTTCTTACACTGTAAAGGAAAATTGAAAGTTCATCGTGAAAGTGTATAAAGCTATATATCTGCTGCATTTATTTATTTATTAATTAATTAAAACGCATAAATTATGCTTCCAAAATGCTTGTATGAATGTAATATGCTAGTATGTTGCCTTAAAAGTGAATGACACATTTACAAAATCATTGCTAAATGATTAAAATCCTACCTAAAATAGCATCAAAATATTTCGTTTCTGGAACATTTTTTTCTGATTACGTACAATATTCATGTGTGTTAAAAGGCATAGACATTTTATGTGACAATCTTTTTCGAGAATAGACCATAAAAGTATGGAAACAACATAATTTTATTGTTGATAATTTTATAAAATTATTCATAAGATATATCTTTATACCCTCAAAAGACTTTGACATAAACAATTGATCTTTAAATCAAATAGATTATAAACATTTGTTTATATACCTGGTGGTTAAAGAAGATGTTCCCGCCGTCATAGCCTCTCTCGGGATTTAACGTCTTGTCGATTTTTGTCCAGGACAGTTTGGGCGCGCCGTGAATCTCCAAGGTACCCCCCTCATCTACCAGAATGGCTTTTGGGTGAGTCTCATGCACATGCGACTTCCGGTTTCCTTTTCATTTAAAAAGTATACAAAGAATGTTGCAAAATCAAATAATTTTATATAATTATGTATTATACTGACTGATCCGGGCATGAACACGGATGCCTCGTCTCTGCTAATCAAGCTTCATATTAGCTTACGCATTTTTCACCTTTATATTGAGCATTTCTATACTGCGACAATTTAGGTAAAAAATCCTTAATTATAATATAGTTAAACCTTTTTGCCTTTAACTATCCAAACTGAGAAAAGAAAGAAATTTAAGGCGTTTCACGAGTTTGTTAAAAAAATAAAAAAAGCTTATCGAATACAACATAACCTATAAGCTCTTCAGGCAGTCGCAAAACTCGCATCACTTTTTACAGTAATATAAGAAAACTAGGTTCTTTCAAATTTTAGACATTTTGCTATGAAAAGTACCTGGTACAATGGCATTCTGAACATTATATATATTTATAAAGACACACAAAAGTAGGGCCTTTCGAATTTGAGAAATTTTGTTATAGAAAAACCCCTAACGCAATGGGAATTCTGAACGTTCTAAAGACACACAAGATTTTTACCTGTAAGGACGATTTCAAGTTTTCCTCGGTACGGACAATCCCCGCATCCAATAAGCATAGAGCCGTGTTTCTGTATATAAATATTTGCTGCTTTCAGGGTGAGATCTACTTCCGGTGAAAACGTTAACATTCCACCATCTTTAATTGAAATGTTATACAGCGGTGGCGGTGATACGTCCATTAAGATTTTGTCGGTGATGGTTATACTGTCTCCAGATTGTGGCTGCAATTCATATTAATCAAATAATAATAATAATAATAATAATAATAATAATAATAATGTTGATAATGATGATGATAATGATAATGATAACAATGACAATTATAATGATAATGATGATAATAATAATAATAATAATAATAATAATAATAATGATAATAATAATAATAATAATAATAATGATGATGATGATGATGATGATGATTATTATGAATGATGGTGATGATGAAGATGATGATAATAATAGTAATAATAATAATAATGATAATAATAATAATAATAATAATAATGATAATGATATAATAATAATGATAAAAAACAACATGGCAAATGAAAACTGTCAAAATGTTCATAAATATTGGTTTTATTTAATATATGCTTTTTTAATTTGTCAAATCAACTCAGATATTGAATGCAACATCATGTACAAATAAGTAATTTTTGCATACGCGATGCACAAATTGTATTCTTTCAGATCGACTTTATAGATATGGAAATTGTTGAAACATAACTACTGTCATATATTTATCTAGAACTTCTCACAGAAAGATCCACTTGATTCATAGCAAATAGTCAATCTTTTCAAAAGAAAGAAAGAAAGAAAGAAAGAAAGAAGAAAGAAAGAAGAATGAAAGAAAGAAAGAAAGAAAAAAAGAAATAAAAAAAGAAAGAAGAAATACATGAATAAATAAATAATAAATAAAAATAAATAAATAAATAAATAAATAAATAAATAAATAAATAAATAAATAAATAAATAAATAAATAAATAAATAAATAAATAAATTTATTAATTAAAATAAAAAAATAGATAAATAAATAAATAAATAAATAAATTGATAAATTAAATAAATAAATAAATTTACTTACAGCTCCGTTCACTCCCCATGTGGATGCTTGTGACCAAGCCTTCAATCCCGCTCGCTCGTGCGGGCAATCCGCACGTGCATGAATAAACAACAAGGCCAATATTTCAAATATTAGAAGACTCCTCATTGTTTTGTATTCTATTATGTTCAAAACTTTACACCTAAATAATGAAGTTACTTTTTAGATGAATTAATACCAGTCGCTATGCCTTCTTAACATTAAATCTTTACATACGAAAATACTTTCAAAATATAAAAAATGTAACAAAATAGATAATAATTTTTCAAGCAGGGAGGTCCGCTGCTTAAAGTGTGCTGTACTGTATGCCGGTTGAGCAGGATATTTTGTACACTTATAACCAATCCCGCAGCCCCCGGGCATATTTTGATGACGTCAGAGAATTATATCACTCCTTTCTTTGTGTAAAGATATATGTATATGATAATAGCTTTTATACTATTTTTATTATTAACTTTTTCCTTTTGAGCTGTATATGTCATTAGCTTGTCATAAGCGGTCAAGGTACGGCTAAACAAATAAAGGCATATGCGTATATCATTAACATAAACAATGCGTATACACAGTGGTTACTCAATTACGTTTTAAGAACACAAATGAGTTAATTTTAAAAAAGCTAACGTCAAGGCATGCTATACTTATGTTTTGATAAGAAAATTATTAAATTGATGTGGTTAAGAAGTGTGAAAACAAAGTGAAGCAAACTTTACTTTGAGAAGGTGACATATTCAGAGTACATATCACTCGCGATAAACATACATTTTGCCTTCTATCTATAAAAAAACAACAACATAATTATGTAAGCAGAAACAGAAACACCAAGCAAAGTACGTGCATTTTTTTTATAAAAAAAAGATAATATATTTGTAAATTATGCGGTTTTATTTTCATCGATATGTTCAAATTGATGCCATTTGACTACATATAAATATGATATTTCATCTGAAGGCAATGCATAGACGTGTTTTATACTGTTTTGATGTATAGACATAGTGTATGTTACATCCTTATTCCGTAAAGAAAGCAGCGTTAAATGTAAAATCATTTGTCATAAAGGTGCGAAAATGTAAAAAAGTGATATTTTGTCTCCCATACCACATACTTATTACTGTAACTTTCTTTATGATAAAAAAGAAGATTCATTTATATTGGCAATAAAAAACCAAAACAAAACAACAAACACCCCCCACAAACAACAACAGAAAAGAACAACAACAACAAAATACAAAACAAACTACAGCAACATCAAATAAAAAAAACAACCCACAAAACAGCAACAAAACAACAATAAAAAGTACAATAACGACAAAATAGAACAAAAACAAAAACAACAAAGAACGACAACAACAAACAAAAGAACAACCACAACAACAAACAATAAAACAGGAACAAAGCAACAACAACAACAACAACAAAAAACAGCAACAAAAGAACAAAAACAAACAAACAACAACAAAAACAAAAAAAAAACAACCACAAAACAATGTTACACTAAAACGATCAGCAACGACATAAAAGAAAAATAAAAGATAATAATAATTAAAAAAAATCACCGAAAACAATGTAAAAAAAAAACAATCTTAAAAATACCAGTTACAAAACAACAATAACAAAAAAAATCAACGGCCGAGAAACACTTTGTCCAATAATTATGATATACATTATTAATTACTGTTCTGTCCCGACGGCGTTAATGACTAATGATAGATTTACATCACATGATATAGGTGTTAATCTTAACAATCAACAAATCTATTTTCTACTTTACAAACAAGATAAAACTACTGTCACCAGGTGCATACTTATATCCGGTTTTAGTTGCGAATGTAGACAAATCCTGTTTACTTATTTTGGCAAAATATTGGGATAATAGGTATTAAAAAATGTTTTTACTATCAAATGATTTACTTTAGATTGAAAAATTAGGTTTATCGGAAATTTGTTGTTTGTGCAAAAGGCGGATTACAATAATTATAACATAACTTGCCATTTTTTTATTGTTGTAAATCTTTTTTTCCTTTACTCATGAGACAGCCTATGGTTATCTGTCCTACCTATCCTGTATACGGATCGACACACGTGTTCTTGACCGTATAATTGTGAAAAAAAGTCTTATGTATTTTGCTGGTATAGCGTTCCATTCATGTATCTAAGTAACCGACAACAGCAAAAAACAACAGCAAAAAAAAAAAAAAATAATGAAATAAATAAATAAAAATAAAATAAACAAACAACAACAACAAAGGAAAAAAAACATTTATAAAAATTACAGATTTGCACTGTTTTTTACTCTTTCAAGTGTATACATAAAGCAAAACTCTGGTCCAGAAAAACGTTGGTTATTGTAGTTATTATAGTTGCATGAAAACAGTTTATGATTGTCAAGGGTTCCTCTGTGGTCAAATTAGCAAATTATGCAGACATGAACTTCTTTTGACGTCGCCCAATTCAGATTAACCATTTTACATAATGTTGAACATGCATTTTGTATATTGTTAAGAAATGAATATTAAAGTACAAAGTATCACATCATTATTATAAAATAAAAATAAAACACACCATTTGTCTTCATATTACGTCTATGGAAAAACAACAATAATATTTCTCGGAAAATTGTGAAATTACTAATAATTGATATTTTTTTCAAACAAAAAAACCGATATTCGTTTCAAATATCACTTGCAGAGAATGCGTCGTTAAGCAAGAAAATACACACATATAAACAGATAACAGCAAACAGAGAGGGATAATTACATGTACGAAAAAAAAATGGCAAAATTATTTAAAGCCTTATTCGCGAAAGTAAACACACAGCTTCTTAGGCTTTTAACACTTTACCAACCGCACTTGCAAATAGCTATTATAAGTAGTAAGTTGTGTAAATGTAACTTCATATGTTTGAATCATTACGAAAAGAAAAGATATATTTTCTATAGAAACTTTTATGTGCATCTTTTAATAAAAAAATATTGTCATTAAAGCATGTTTTCAAAATAACTTATGATTTGTGAGTGTTATTTATTTATAATTGACTTATATCATTTCACCTCACATCAGCTAAATAAATAAAGGTTATTGTCCTTTAGCAACATGAAACTTAACTCATTTCTGATTGTAAATGAACAAGAAAATGTCTATTAATTTAGCAATCTTCCAGACGTTTCCGTTATCGCCACCTACGGTAATCATTTTAAGAATAAAAGTTTAATTTAAGAACGTTTTTGCTGCTTCTCCTGCTGCTGCTGTCATTTCTGTTTGCCCAAAAGGATTGTTTTATAAGATAGTTCAGTTTTAATAATTACATTGAATTACGACATGTTAAATTCTTATCCCTGCAGATATTACCATGCCACGAGACATGTTTCATTTTTATCCGTGAAGATATTACCATGCAAAAAGACCTATTATGCCTCAGAAATGCTATCATTTTTATTTCTCAAACACTATCTTTGTTTGGTATCTTGTTACAGTTTCTAAAACCATACGCAATTGCTACAGACACATATTAACTTCTGTTGGCAATTGGTTAAATTATAGTGAATAAGTATTGTGTATAAAAGTAAAAATTCTACATTAGTTACATTTTGCTACCTCTACGACATAAAACTGTATGGTCAGCGCTTTTTTTCAGTTGTAAAACAACTAGCATGCGCTCAATCCATTATTTAATGTTTGACCTTTCTAAAGAATTACAAAATATGGATTTCTGGGGCAAAAAGTGCATTTAAATTGTGAGCAGTGAGGATATTACCTTGTCAACAGCTCAAAGTCTTATCCGTGCTGATACATAATGAATGGTCTAATATTTACTAAATAACCATGAAATTTATTGTTTTGCTATAGAATACAACAATTACCTATCTAAAACAGAATTCCATCGAAAAGTATGATAAGTCTAGAATGTGTATAATTATGTACATTCTATAAACAGTTTAGACTCTTTCTTATTTGTTTCTTAATTCAAGATTTCGTCATATACATGTCTAAGTGTAGAATTCCGCATGAGGCGGTGCTAGGGGCTCTGGACGGTAGCTTATAGTTACCACTATCCTCTTGAACGGGCCCGATAAAACGAACCCTGTAGCAGTGTCAAATTTTTCGGTTTGGGCGTTCTTTAAGGATTTCGTTTTTCTCTATTTCATACTTATAAAGTAAGTAAATTAGGTTAAATTAGCATAAAACAAACCTGATGAAATATAAAAGAAATAACATACTTTGAATAGATTCAATTTCTTCTTTTTACGAATGATTCAGCTGGAAAGTCTGTGTTGATACTATTTTGTATCAGGGATCGATATAAACAAAACGCTTCAATTTTTAAAGTAGTATATATACATGTACATTCATTTATACTCATCTTAGAATTAAACCTTAGCAGTTGAAAACATTCAGGCTTCAATGGTATTTGATTTACAAGTCAATGTTTATTGAGGTGTGAACAAATCAACTTTATAATAGCTAAAATATTAATGAAAGCAAGGGTAAAAAGTAGTATCTTTAAGACATTCAACTTTAAACTGTTTCCCAACCTTACTAGTTTGCAAAAAAAACATGTATCCGTTTGATTGATACTGTCCTATACGTATGTACATTTAAATAAACATGTTAATTAAGCATATTATTTTTGAATTCCTTCTGTACATTAGACGGTAACTTATTGTCATAATAATTCTTATATAAAGAATGGGTTGAATATCAGGTTTTTGTAACTGTAACCCTCTATTCGTTGTAAACACTATAATCTTTATCTAATTTGTTTTCGGAATTATTATACTAAGCTTTTCATTTAAATAATTATTGTGATACCAACCTTGATTAATGCAATATTGTTTACTGACATTAAATCATGAACAAATCATAAATAATTGTTGATATCTCGAGCTTTAATAATGCGAAATGCTGACATTATATCATGAACCGAACACATCTCGAGCAAAAAAGGTTCAAATCGTGTTAATAATCTATCTTTGCTCTGGCTTTACGTCATTTTGTCTTTCTTTATTTAGGTTAACCTTTAGAAATGTCTTTAACGAAATAATATTTAAACACTTATTATTGTCTATGCTTAAACATTCAGATTAAATTTAGATAAAATTGTATATAATGCATAAAAAATCAAAAATGATTTATATTAATTTCATAAGGACTTTTGTCCAGGGAGAACTTAAACAAAATCTATTTGTCTGCATTGCAAGTTTTATATTTTTTTGTTCCATATCAATTCCAATTTTCTGGC